GCGACCGTGCACTAGAAGGAGCCCAGGTAAACTTAAGGTCCCGAGGCCTAGTAGTTAGCCTAGAAACAAAAATACAAGGTAATTATAACAAGTTAATATCAATGTAAATTTGCTGAAGATATTGATAAAGGAACCATATTGGTGTAGACACCAATAGACTAAAGAGAACGAAATATAATACCCTCAATAATTCACAAATTAAATATACGAGATTTCAGATACCCAAATTGATAAGAAACAATCTATAAAACATTTATAGCAAAATTGACTAGCACTAAGCGTATCAATACACCCATATTTTTATAAATATGTAGTGTGTGGATAAGGCTCATGCAGCTATAAGGACTCACAGAGATTTAGATTTTCATCTAGTAAATACATACTAGCTGACTATTATGTGTATTATATAACAAGTTAATCCTACACTAGCGGGAGCTTCTATAGCAGTACATAGATTAACAGATAATCAATAATATGTTATTGTGAGTTAGTTCGAGTATAGCACATAAGTAACTTTAGTAGAGAACTGTTGTAAAAAAATGTTGCATAAAAATATAAGAAAGAAGATCTTATTTATCTAGTATTAATATGTTGGAGAAACATAAGGAGGAGAAAAGCACAAGAGACATATCATAGGATGCGGTGCATGTAAGAAAAATCTATTTCACGTGGGAGAGGTTAACAAATAAGAAATGTGAGCTTTTAAAAAGATAGAGTAGAAGAGTAGAATAATTGTCCGGCAACCGCGCAAATAAAGCATTCGACACCGTAATGTTGATAAATTATACTCAATCGCTAATCAATTAGAGATGCGCGAGTAAGAAGCGTTATAGTGTACTTACAAAGAGGAGCAGTCATCGACACAAATGGCACAGATAACAGCACCCACAAAAAGTGATGTCACCATTCAGAAAATAAATACATAAGCAAGTGGAAATTAGGTCAGACTGGCGTCGCAACCGAAATAAAACCCCAAACGAGGCGACCGTCATCTGCATGAGACAGGTAGTAGCATCATAGGCTCGTCTCTATCAATGACCTTGTAGCACAGACTTTAGGTGGAGCTGATAAAAAGCCGATATCCCCCATAGATCTGTGAAGTCGACCTAGACTTTTAATCTCCATAGTTGAACCAGCCTCTCTCTATTAGTTGTTTTCCATTCGTCATCTTTCTTTTTACATACAAGTCAGGAAGGCAAGCCAGGTCCGTCTCCGTTCAATCGTGAGAATCATTGCAGGCGACACACGAACAGGAGGCGACCGACTAGGCGGCTTAGGCATCAAGGATACTATTGCAGAATTTCTTAGGGGTGCGAGGCCAAAGTAAAGTAGACCGTTACCCTTGCTGTGTTACAGTTCCAATAAGTTCATTCCTGGCTTGTGTGGTTGGGTTCCAGATTCATTTATCGGAGTTTAGGGTGGCATATGCGGGGTGCCGTGCTGCTGTTAACCGGTCCGTAATGTCTGGTCTTCGTCTGATGTGGAGAGTGCCTGGCTCCTCACAAATCACAACTGTGATCTCCGTACTTCGAGAGTGCCCAAACTCCCACATAAACATAAGCAATAGGAAATCTCATACAGACTACTAGAACCGGATGACAAATAGACATCAAAAGCGATTGCTAATGCAGATGCAAATAGCGCAAGAAAAGATATAATTAACGAGTTGAATGCAAATGAATATACAATAGTATATTATCATCAGTTAATTCATAATAAATAGAGGGAACATAATAATCAACAACATATTAAGTTATAAAATAATTAGATTTCGGGCGCGTAAAATAAATAAATAATTAATTAACATAAATAATAATAATAAATAATAAAATAATTAAGAAAATTTTAATTTACATTATGTATAAGTTAAGGAATTATAGCCTATAATAAACCTATTGAGACTTCAATCAATTAAATATATGGGTAGCTAGATTCTTAGGAAGAAATTTCGCCAAGCACTTGCCTAGAAATAGACTATCCACTTGCTACACGTAGAAATAACAACAAGGTAATTGTCCGAATAATTTATCACCATCTACACCACACACACCACCAGTGCTAGCATGGGCGAGTCAAGTCAAGCTTAGCAAATCACACTTCCCTCCTTACCAAAAACAACAACTGTCAACACTTCCAACCCCCGCTCACATTAATCTTTAGCAACTTACAATCAACTACTTAATCCATGTTCCAGGCAATGATATGCAATCATGTCTTCTAGCGCTCTCATATAACTTATCAATGTAGTCTTTTTATACCGCTATTACACAACAACAAATGAAAGCCTTAATACCATATACTAATCGACATAGAAACCTATTATCATATCAAAGTTAAGTCCTTCAATTACTTTCATTTGATCGTGTTTCGTAGTGTCCTAACTATATAAGCTCTGAACTACTCTCTCTCATCAAGCTTTTTCCATTTCTTCATCTCCCGCTTGTTAACAGGATAACAACCACATAATATATACAATTAAGGTTGTATTATAACTTCTTAATTAAGCCATATACAGAACAAGATGCTTCCACTCTCACACTACACATTCTACATGAATACCCCGCACCTACACTCACACGACCCTCAACATCATTACAATTAAGAGTAGTGACAACTAACTAATTCTCGTAAAGAATTACAACTTCTACTCACACATAATATTCCATACAGCAACTACATCTTATATACAATGATTGCAAAATAAACTGCTCCGAGCGACTCGCCCGCCGAGCAACACGCCCCAGTCCGTCTCTCTCACATCTCTTCGCATACAACAACACTACGTCATTCGAACCTCTAAGTCCACAACCAACGTTAAGACGACAGAGCAGCAATTTAATTCTAACTATATAGAACATTGGTTCAAAGCAAAAATCACTGCACTCTTCCCCTAAACTAGAAGTTGCCGATTGATATCAAAAAATTCTTTCAACGCTTTCATTCACTCTACAATTCTCACTACCAATTAGTCACTGCCTCACTCTCAACCATTTCCCTCCACAAACATTAATTTATACACTTCGTTAGCCATTATACCGTAGAACACCCACAACTTCCTCTCACACCCTAAATACGTTAAGATGAGACTAAAGACTGGCATTTTAGTCACGGTATTATCAGATTCTTTGTGCACTAAATACTTGGGCGATTTAACCTAAGATAATTTATTCACTTGTAATACACTGGAATTTCAGGTTTAATTAAATCTCCAAATGTTAAAGAAGTAAAACTCAAAAAGCCATTCTAGGCGTATATCCAATTACAACTTTAAAGCGTAGCAAATTTAGGAATTTAAAAGTCTCTACCACTTGATTTCATGCATCTAAATGTCTATACTCTTGATTCAAAGAATTCACTAAAATGTATCAAAGAGAAAGGTTGAAAATCGGCGAGCGCTTACCCAGCTGAAAAATCGAAACGCGGAAAGATGAGAAATTTTTTCTGGATTAAAGTGACCGCAGTGGACTTCAAAAGCCAAAACCGAGCACTGCATGCTTAGCTTAGGACGATAGCCATTGGAACTGGAGACGGAACGACAACATGGAGTATCAATAGGCCTGCTGGGCAATCGAGAAAGCAAGGTTCAGTCTCATCGGCTTGCCGCTATGAATCTCCGTTCCGGAAAATAAAAAGAAAAGCGGTAACCGGCGATAGTACGGGTCGTCGGAATACAAAAATGGGATAAGGGGGAGGTTTCTAGACAAGAATTGTTATAGGGTTTTGTTGTTTTTTTTTTTTTTTTTTTCTTTTTTTTTTTTTTTTTTATTGTTGTTTTTTTTTTCTTCTTGTTTTGTTTTTTTTTTTGTGGTTTTTTTTTTTTTTTGGTGTTGGTTTTGATTCGGGGTTGGGTTCTAAAGTCAACTCATGCGTTTTTGTGTGATTTTCATTCTTTCCATGCGCGGTTTTACATCGGTTTGTTGATTGATTTCATTGTGTGTTTACTACTAGATTTGGTCATTTTAGTATGCAGGTTTTGGGCTATACATAAAAGATTCATATTCTGCCTTGTTTAATTTTGCGTTAAATAAAGTTGACAAGATGATATAAATTTATTTTATTTTTTAAATAATATAAGTATCCTACAGTGATTCAATTGGGTGTTCAGAGGAATTAACTAATTAGAAATTTTAAATGAAAAATTTTTTGAAAATAAAATTCACCGGTTGTTTTCAATAGATATTAAGAATTTCAAAATGTTTAAATTTTTCTATTATTATCTTTATCTTATATGTGATAATTATATTTAATATTTCATTATATAATTTATGAATTCAGGCCATCTCAAGGATATTATTGATTTTAATAATATGTAACTGAGAGGGCATTTTGAATCTTGGTTATATTTTTTTTGAATTTATTTTAAATAGAATATAGTCTAGATGATTCAAATTTTAGATTTAAGAAAAGATATAATTAAGTTCATTTAATTTACAAATTGCACCCTAATTTGATTGGGACTAAAAAATAAGATAAATTATTTTAAACCATCTCGAATTATCTGTATATAATTTTATGCGACAACTATAACATGAATATTTGTATATAATTCGATATTATTTTCTATTAAAGAAGTACTAAATTTTTATTAAGTACTGTTTTAATGCTTTCATGATTTTTAATATGACAAAAAATAAAAATAAAAATAAGTGTATTAGTATGTATAGAATATTTAAACAATTGGATTTATTTAGATCGGTTTTTCTGTATTCGCTATACTTATAAAGTATAGGTTTATGTTACTATAGGATATATTACAGTCGAAGAAGTGATTAAACCGAAAAAATGTTGTCACTTAAAGCTTAGATTAATTGGAGTAGCCAAGTGATTATGTATACGGATATTTTTATATTTAAAATAAAGTAGATTCAAGTACTTTGTGCAAAAATCTAATTAAATAAAATTTAAAAAATAGACATCCATTATTGCGCTAATAAACTTAAAATTAAATTAAAACCCATAAACCAATTGAAAATCAACTCAATTAAACCAATGGGTTGGAGATGGTGAAGGTACAGTGTTCATATTTGCCAGCGCAAGTCATGGCTGAGTTGTGCTGGTCAGAATGGATTCTTAGGATGGGATTGGGCGTTCTATCGTTTCCTATTGTCGATGGGATGTTAATTATTTAATTTGTTTTTGAAATTATGTTATTGCATTCTTCAAACTCTAGATTTCAATTGTCAACAGACCTTTATCTCTATCATAAACCCAACAATTTAATATAGAAAATTATGATTTTAATTCTTGGTATTTTACAAGATAATATCAAATATTGTGCCTAAGGCATTTTTAGGGATGAACGATTAATTTTATTCTCTGAGTGTGTTTTTTGTTTTATTACGTTGTTATATTATTCTATCAATTAAATTCATAATTTTATCCTCTATAATTTTTTGTTTTTCTATTACATTGCTGTATAGAGTTATTCCTAATCGAATTATTTTTGTACATTTTTTATTATTTATTATTCTTGTCTCTATATTTTGTAAAAATTAATTAGCCCTAGCGTCGTTGAAAATCTATTAATTATTCTTAACATCACTGTATTATGGCTCGAAATTACTAATCTTTTAACGGAAAGTACTAAAAATGTAATAAAATGATATAAACAGTCTAAATGAAAGTTCGAAAAACAGGGACCAAAATTATTTGAATTTTTTTAAAAGAATACAAGGCCGAAATTTATATTAGTTTGCCAGAAATATCAGGAAAAAATAGTATTTTCCATTTAAAATATCCCTTTTTCAGTAGTTCAGCATCTACAGCTCACTACCGCTCAACAGCATAAAAGCTTGGCTATTCGTGTAAATTAATTATTCTATTGTATGTATTTCCCACACTATAACATACTACAGTATAGAGAGGCTTTTCACTTATTTTTGGTCTAAATCAAATCTTTTCTGATTCCTTTGGGAGGATCTTATTTTACTCAACATGATCAAACTCAGCATTCTTTATTTCACCAATCTTTTTGCTTCCTTCTGCGCTCCTTCCGCTTGCCATCGAGAAATGTACAATTGTGACCCGAGATAGAGTGAATCGAACAGTCGCTTGCCCATGGAGAATGTACATGTGAACCCGAGGATGAAGTGATCGACAGATCTTTGGCTCGAAAATACAAAGTTGCAGCCATAGCAGCTATACTTGTGGCGGGCGCAATCGGAGTTTGTCTTCCTATTGCCGGAAAATTTATTCCAGCTTTGCGTCCCGAAAAGGACATATTCTTCATAATAAAAGCCTTCGCAGCAGGAGTAATTTTGTCAACTGGGTTTATTCATGTGCTTCCTGATGCCTTTGAAAACTTGACATCGCCATGTCTGGATAAAAATCCATGGGGAAAATTTCCGTTTACTGGTTTTGTTGCTATGGTTTCTGCAATTGGCACTTTGATGGTGGATGCTTTTGCTACCTCTTATTATAGTAAGTCTCATCTGAAAAATCAACAATCCATAAGTGCAGATGAGGAAAAGGTTGGGGATGGTGAGGTACATGTTCATACTCATGCAAGTCATGGCCATTCACATGGCATGGTTTTGGCTGAGAATTCTGTTACATCAGAACTCCTTCGACATCGAGTAATTTCGCAGGTAATTTTTTCATTTATTTTCAGTTTTCTCTCTTTCTTTTTTTATTTAAATTTAATTAGGCTCTATTTGAAAATAAATTAAAAATTCTTAACACTTTTATTAATTTCTTTTTTGAGAATATTTAGTCTTTTTCTAGTAATAATTTTTAATTTTACTAATTATGTTTTGAAACGAAAACTCATTATGTTTTTGTGATTTTGTTATTTTTATAATGTGTATTTATTAGTATTCTAATCTATCAGAATTATCACAAGTCAAATAATATTATATGTCTTTGGTTTTGAGCAATATATTATTCTAATAAAATAAAAGCACTTTGACAGTTCCTTCCTTGATGTAGGTTTTGGAGTTGGGAATTGTGGTCCACTCTGTAATAATAGGAATTTCTTTAGGTGCTTCTGAAAATCCAAAGACAATAAGACCTCTAATTGCTGCCCTAACATTTCATCAATTCTTTGAAGGCATGGGCCTTGGTGGATGTATTTCTCAGGTAATATATATATATATTTTTAATTTCCTTCTATATTTGATGGAAAAAAGTGGAAGAAAATTTTCTTCAATTCATTAAATTTTGTTACATATTTTAATTTTACGCTATTAATTATTTTATAAGATATAAAAAGAAAAATAATTATTCGGATTTTGGCAGGCAAAATTTAAGGCAAAGACTGTAGCAATCATGTCAACATTTTTCTCACTAACAACCCCAGTTGGGATAGCAATTGGAATTGCTATATCAAATGGGTATGATGAGAATAGCCCCAAAGCTTTAATTGTTCAAGGAGTATTTAACGCAGCCTCATCTGGAATTTTGATATATATGTCTTTGGTCGATCTCCTTGCTGCTGATTTTATGAATCCAAGAGTGCAAGCTAATGGAAAACTTCAACTTGGAGTTAATTTTTTTCTTCTTTTTGGAGCTGGTTGTATGTCTGAGTATTTAACGCAGCCTCATCTGGAATTTTGATATATATGTCTTTGGTCGATCTCCTTGCTGCTGATTTTATGAATCCAAGAGTGCAAGCTAATGGAAAACTTCAACTTGGAGTTAATTTTTTTCTTCTTTTTGGAGCTGGTTGTATGTCTTTCCTGGCCAAATGGGCTTAAACTCACTTGTTTTATTCTTTTTAATTTGTAATATTGCTTAATTATATTTCTCTTCTTAGATTTAGTTTGGTAAAAAGAGGAAATAAAATATTGGAGGAGAGCAAATAATGAACTCAATTTCATATTAAAAAATTAATTAATTTCTTTTATTCAATTTGGAGAGATTCTAATTTTGTGCTCCCAAAAAAGAAATCAGAGACGAAGCTATCCTTTAGAGGAGAGCGGCAATTACCCACTTCTATTTTGAAAAAAACAAAAGTTTTCTTTTAACAATACTAAGGTAATTTTTAAGACATTTTAACCATTTTGCCTTCTTCATTTTTACGTAATATTCTCTTAATATATTCTTATACTAATTTATCATTTCCTTTATAAATTCTAGCTTGGTCCCTGAAGGAAATACTGTATATTTTCGCTAGATATTTTCCTCAATCTTTTTAAAAAATAGAATCTCATTTGCCTTGATATTTACTTAAAAATAAATAAAAATTCTTCCTTTGCAAAGAAAGACTTAAGCAACTAATTATCATATTGTATAATATTTCTTAGCAGAGATCAACATATTTTCCATGAGAGTGAACATGTCTGGATCTTTTTGGCCAATGGCGGAGGGAAAAGGGTGGCCACCGCCCCCTCTAGCTTCAAAACATTTTTAACTTTTGCCTTAAAGAAATTTATTTATTTATTTATTTATTTGGCCCTCTTCAATTTATGAAATTTTCTTTTTGCTTTCTCTAAGTCCTATTCTTGGATTCGCTGCTATTTTTTTTTTGCCACAAAAAGTCATGCATTTCATTGTCAATATCTGCATAATTGTATAAAATCTGGACCAGAGGAAAAGAAAAGTTGATTGAATAGTTCTTGTTTGGTATATATATATTTTTTTCTTTTTTTATTTTTTAAATTAAAGACTTGTGATAGAAACAATTAAGTGTAAAAACATCATAGATATAATATCGCAAGAGTGTCATTTGATATGAAAATAAAAAATTGACTGACTTTGTTCTTAATGTAAAGTATCATAGATTCAATCTATAATCTATTCCTTCCTTATGATACCAATAAAATTAAAACTCCCGTAATAAGGCCATCTATCTCAAATTTTATATTTTGCAGTAATTATATCCTATGTTTCAAAAATAAACTGTTTAATTTATCTGTCAACTATAGGAGAGAGAGTGCATTTTCTTTTCAATTTAAAATATAATTACAACAAAAGGTTTCTAAACACTTAGGTATGAAGTTCTTTTAAACATTCAGGAGGGAGCGTTTGACATCCTTTTGTAGGTCTACCTAGCACGAATCCGAATTAATCGAGTCAGTGGACTTCAGATACCGAATGATTAAATAAAAAAAAAAATTTCTCGCATTGTAACGTACCCTTCTTAGTCTTTAAATTAGATATTTCATTTCAGGTCATTTATTTATTTATCGAAATTCGTGAAATTAGACAACCATGATGCATGTAGCCTCTCTTTCTGACTTTGCAGCCTCTATCTCTCCACAGTTAGAAACTTCATTTTTATTAATTTGATTATTATTTAATTGAATTTTTGACCTTTTAATCTGAGGTATAATTGCAACAAAAACTTCAAATTAGGATAAAAATAGTTTAATTTTCGTAAAATACAAAGTTTATAATATGACATGATTATTTCGAAAGCATTATCTAATTATCATGCGAAGGTTAAAATCTAAAGGTTGGCAAAATGTGGCACGAGTATGTTTTTTATACGACCACAAATATCACTGCTCTCTTTAGGTAAAAAATCATTCTCGTTTAAGAGTTAGTGCATTGACGACTTATGGGTCATGAATCTCTTTAGTCAAACAATTAATTATCAGCAGTCTACATATAGTACCCTTTCCTATGGAAAAATGCAAAGGTCTCCAGCATCCATTGCCACGACACGAACCATGCCTTGTCCTTATTAGAAGACTTATAAATAGGTCCACACGTTATAATGCTATACTTATAATGTTTTCAAACTCCATTATATATATGCCAATGGAAAAACGACTTTTATTAAGAGTTGCAGTTTTTCTATTCATAAGCTTGTTTCTATCCAAACATAACAATAATGCTTTTATAATTGTTCCACTTGCACGCTAGAGAACATGACCACATGCCAATGGAAAAACGACTTTTATTAAGAGTTGCAGTTTTTCTATTCATAAGCTTGTTTCTATCCAAACATAACAATAATGCTTTTATAATTGTTCCACTTGCACGCTAGAGAACATGACCACTGTGATAAGATGCGAAAGCTTTAACTGAAGCCTCCCAATTATTCATTAAAGAGGAATAGACTGGCCGAGTCAAGTCTAAACCCTAAGCCCTAAGCCAATTACCCTTAGCCTAGATAACTAAGGTGAGATAGCCATGACCAGAAGAGTCATAGGTTCTACCCCTCCCCGATATTCTAATTTGTAATTTGTAATATTTGTCCCTTATGGGTTGAGCTGCTCCTGATGGATTTTAATTTAATTTTTGTTTGAAATTGTAATTTTGTAAGTCGGCTTTAATTCTAGCACTGTTTTAATACAGATTGTAATATCTTTTTGAACATAGTATTTAATGGCGCGGAAAAAAAAAATTCTAAACTCAATATTGAGACTTTAGATGTCAGTATGCATAGTAGCCAATTTAGGGTATGTTCGGCAAAATTAACTGTTCGATGGCTGTTAGTGTTGGAGAAGAGAACTTCAAATCATTTAGAAGTGATTTATTGCTGCAATTAAAGAAAGAAATCAGAGAAAGTGAACAAATAAGTTTTAGAGGAATTTTATCAAATAGCTGATAGGCATAAAAGAATATCGTAATTACTGGAAATATTAGATAATTTTATTAAACTCAAATTAGCCTTTATACAGGCTTAACAAAGCAACAGACAAATCTTAAAAACAGAAATATCTGACACTCTTTCAATCATGCCTCAAAAATAAAGGAGACAATAAATAAGTGCTAAAGACTATGTCACTAAAGTAAAAGAACTAGTTTCCAGCAGTAGATATTTTGAATCAATTATTCTAACAGGTAGCTGCTTTAGTAGCGTTTAACTATTGACTGTTTGAATAGTTTTTTATGAAATATTAAAAACTAAATATTACATGGGTTAACTTTTTATAAAAGGTAGCTATATAAGGAGACAATAAACAAGTGCTAAAGACTACGTCACTAAAGTAAAAGAACTAGTTTCCAGTAGTAGATATTTTGAATCAATTATTCAACAGGTAGCTGCTTTAGTAGCGTTTAACTATTAGCTGTTCGAGTAGTTTTTCATAAAATACTAAAAGCTAAATGTTACATGAGTTAATTTTTTATAAGACACTACCTTAACCTCTAAAAGCTAATTCAAATGTTATGTTACCAAGCACTATAAAAAATAGCGTTTAGCATTTGGACCATTAACCTCTAAAAGCTAATTCAAATGTTATGTTACCAAGCACTATAAAAAATAGCGTTTAGCATTTGGACCAGTGAAAAAGCTAAAAGCTACCTAAAATGTTAGTATTCAAACATGACCTTAGGATGATCGGTGTTTCTACTAGTTTTCATTTATCAAATATATTAACAAAATAATTGTAGGACAAAATATATTTAAATTTGTTATTTAGTATTTTAAACAAAGAAATAATTGTCAAAATAAAGGAAGTATTAAAATTTATTTAATTTTGTCTCATAATTTTTTTTAATGGATAATTACACTCTTATTATCTGATTTTTTTTGTCGTTTTTAATTTCAATTTTTGGACTCCTTTCTTTGTAATGAACTTTTTGGTGCAATAAGCTAATGGAAAACTTCAGTTGGAGTTAATTATTGGAGCTGGTTGCGCGTCTCCTCAGCCAAATGGGCTTAAGATGTCTTGTTTTCTTCTTTTTAATTTGTATTATTACTTAATTATATTTATCTTCTTAGATTTTGTTTGGAAAGAAAAGAAGAGAAAAGAAAAGATTGGAGGAAAAAAATGGAGGAAAAAAATAATTTGAGAGAAGTGTTTATTTGAAAGCATTTTGCTGGCAATTTACAAAAATAGTGTCAAATAAAAAATATAATTTGTTCCAAGACCACACCAATAGAACTTGTATTATTACTTAATTATATTTATCTTCTTAGATTTTGTTTGGAAAGAAAAGAAGAGAAAAGAAAAGATTGGAGGAAAAAAAATAATTGAGGAAGATTTATTGAAAAGCATTTTGCGGCAATTTACAAAAATAGTGTCAAAAAAAAATATAATTGTTCAAGACCACACCAATGAACTTTTTTTATCGTTGGTTAAAAAATATTTTTAAATCAATTAATTGTTTTTTTCACAGATATAATATAATAGTACATTTGTTACATTTATAGTGTACAATTTGTTCTTAAAAAATCAAAATTAGACTATCTTTGTAAATATTTTCAACACTACACCATTTAGATATTTTCACACTATTTTCTAAATTCTTCGCAATTTTTTCAATTCATTCGAAGAAAATAATGCATGTTTTCCTTCCTTAGATATTTTTCTCAACCTTTTAAAAAATTAAAGGAAAATTCTTTCAGTTAATATTTTTCCTTAAATAAAAAAAAAGGGTTAAGCAACTAATTACCATAGTATTGTTATTCTGTCAAATTCTCAACAGACATCTATCTGTGTCGGATCTTATTTTGCTATTTTAGTTACTTATTTTTCTTGTTAAACATTGTTCGAATCCAGAAGAATATACTGTTAGGACCCTCCCCTTCTATCACCTTGTACGATTGAGAAGTAGTTCTGGCATTTTTGTGGACTAAAACTCTTCTGTTTCATTGTCAATATCTGCATAATTTCATAAAACCTTGGCTGGACCAAAGGAAAAGAAAAGTTAATTAAACAATATGTTGTTTGGAAGTTTCTTTTTCTTAGATAAAGACTTGTGATAGAACCAATTAAATTTTGGTTACCATCCAAAAAGAAAAACGCGTATCCAAAAAGACGAATATTAATAATGAAAATATCATATATTCAACTTGTGTAGTCTTACAAAAACGCGTATTCTTTATAACATGAACGAAATCAAAACTGTGTAACGATGCTATTTATCTCAAATTTTACATTATGTGCATATTCTTAAAAAATAAAATTCTTCAATTTATCCACCAACTAGGAGAGAAATTGAGTTCTCTTTTCAATTTAAAATACAATTGCAAAAAAGATTTCCTCAGAATTGTAGTAGGCATGAGATCTGTAGTTATTCTGTATCCTTTCTAACCTATAACTTAGAACCACAGCTGTAGGATATTATCTTATTTAGGATCCTGAATTGATGATTGTAAATCCCTTTAGATATTATCCCTATTAGCAAAGTAGATTTTGTTTGCAAGTCCAAGAATCAATGCGTTGCTCGAGCAACTGTTTCTGTGCCTAGCGAGTAGGAAAGGAAGAAACTATGATATAATTTCTTTATATTTTCTGGATTACAATGAATATCTCTATTGTCTTTGGATATAAAATCATTCTCATCTCAGGTTCGTGGATGTTCCTTCTTATGAGTATTATTCCTATGATCAAATCCTGATCTTGCAGAGGGTATTCATTAAATTCAAATGTGCATTGTTGAGTCATGAAATCTCTTCAGTGATAACAGTTAATTAACGGAGTATCAATTAAATGTCTAAAGTACCCTTTCCTATCAATAAATACAAAGGGCTCCATTTCCAATGTATTGTCCTCAGTAGCAACTTATACATAGGTCCACACGTTGTAATGCTAGTTTACAATTTTTCCAAACTCTCTTACCTCATTCTCTTTTGGCTATATGTATATATAAAGACTTGGAAGTTTCCTATTCACATGCTTGTTATTATCCAAACACTTGGACGCTAGGCAACATGTCTATCCACAGGTTTATACGTTGAAGGTTGAACTACTAAGACGACATGTGAAAGCTTGACTAAAGGCTGCCGATTTATCCAAACCAGCCGAGTCTAAAGTTTATGACTTGTAAAACATTAATTTATTGGCAAATACAATCAATATTAAGATATTGGCCAAATGTATAAATTCACTCCTTAACTTTGTTACGAAAAATTATAAAATATTCTCAATTTTTATTTTAATCCATTAAATATTTAACTTACAAACTTAAGCTTGTTTAACACTTTAATTTATAAAGTCATTTTATTGAACACTCCAATTTATAAATTTGGATCGAATAAAAAGTTATATTGATCATATGTCAAATTGATATTTTGTATGAAGGAACATGTGATATTATCAAAACGCGTAATTTAGCTGTACAATAAATCCTCCATATAATTTGTACCCACAAAATTTTTCGAGAAAAAAAATATACAATTTATATAGACCTTTTGATTTTTAGAGGTCCATATACAAAGTAGCCCATTTGGGATGGGTGCCAATTTTAGTTTTTATTTCTTTAATATATAAACAAAAATTATAGGTAAAATATATTTAATATTTTAATTTTGTTATTATTCATTATCTTGAACAGTTCATACAATTTTTAGAATTTATTTGAAATTTGAAATTTGGAATTTAGAATAAAAAAATATAATGATTTTAATACCATAATTTCAATTCTATATATGGAATTGAACATTATAATTAAACCAAATTATACCTAAATAAGTAGAATCTCTAAATATGTTCCATAAATTTAAACAATCTAAATTTTTGTTTGTGAGTGTAACAAAATCCATTTACCATTTTTTTTTCATTACATTATCTTTAGTTATTAAATTCAATTGGCACTAGAAAAAGATTGATTTTTTAAAAAATATGAATGGTTTATAATGATTATTCTAGCAGCTTTGAAATGTTCATAATATATCAAATTCTGAACTTAGAATGCTTGATGAACTTTAAACTTGAAATTTGACCTTCGTTGTTTGATTTATGTTTCTAAAATTGAAATTGAAATTGAAATAAAATATGTAGTTAGTGATTTGGACTTTGGTGCATGTTTGGTGTACAGAAATGGATCAACTTTCAGTTAATTATTTTAATATAATTTTTAGCTTTCGTTATAATGGTTAAGTTAAATTGCATTATTGAATTGAACTCTGTGAAGAACCAATGTTTTCTTTAATTAAAAAACAAATAATATTGGTCTACTCTTTAATTTTTGTTACAACTTGCTTTGTACATTATTTATACTCTCTATATATTCTCGTATCTGCATTTTATATATAATTTTCACTGATTTTTTACCAATATAATTCTTAATTAAATGTAAGTATCAGTCATAACAGAATATTTTTTTCTATTTATATGTTTACTTCTTGTTTTATTGGTCATTATTTACTTTTTTATTTATAATTTATAATTTATAATTTATAATTTACATATTTTTTATAATTTGTTCTTTTCTTGAGAGCAGAGAATATTAGGATGGTGAAAAAAAATAGGTAATTAATAATGATAGCCCTATTTTAATTAGCTAAAAAATAAATTAAGAAACTATTATTTTTATATTTAATTTGATTGGTCAAATATTTTTAGAAGATAATAATTGTTAAGGTACAGATAAATAATTTGAAGTAATGTTTAACAAAAAAAAAAAAAAAAATACTAGATAAGAGTTAATCAGGTAGTGATTTAATTGGTTTTTTTCATTTTATATGAGAGGTGATAGATTTTGAATTTGAATCTTTTCAACTGCAGTTATTTTTATCAATTTACAAGTTCAAGCGTACAATAAATACTTAGCAAAGTTTACATGTTTTGGTCAATTACAAAGATAAATTTTTGGATTTGCATTTTATTCCTCTAATAGTTTTATATCAACACCATATCATAGATGGGAATGATTAAATGACTTGATTTGTTGGATATCGGGATCCAATTCGAACGGAGTGTATAAAATCCGATCCATTTAATGGTCGATCGGATATAGATTTTTAAAATAAAATCCATGCAAATATAAAATCGGATTAGAATATGGTATAATCCGATCCGTGAAAGTTTTTTTTTTTTTTTTACATTTTTTAAATTATTGATTTGTAATTCAACATGAGTAATTTTAGACATGCTACTGCCTTTATTCTTCTCTTCCTCTCCTTTTCCATTTATATTTTAAATCATTTTCTCCAACTCTCACCATTTTTTTTTTTTTTTCAATCTTTACTTCAAACAAAAGAATGAGTTAAACACTATAATGACTGGCATGTTTGCGCTAAGCATATGTTAAAATCTCTTCTAGTTGTCATAGTATACAATAATTCCAATTATTGTAAGGAATTTTTGTGTTTTCAAGCACCATATATAAGTAATATGAATTTTTATATAATTATTGTTCTATTTTTATTTTTCTTTTCAACATAATAAAAAACGGATAATATCTGATCCGATCCGCTCTGATATCTGATCCATTCGAATCCAAGCAGTCGACATAGATATATGAATATAATCCAACAACAAAAATCCATCTTCAACAACAAAAAAAAAAAAAAAAAAAAAAAAAAAAAAAAAAAAAAAAAAAAAAAAAAAAAAAAAAAACATAATAAAAAACGGAGTTAATTATTCTTGATTTCCGATCCGGCTCTGATAATCTGAATCCATTCGAATCCAAGCAGGTCGACATAGATATTATGAATATAATCCAACAACAAAAATCCATCTTCATACATACAAAAAAAAAAAAAAAAAAAAAAAAAAAAAAAAAAAAAAAAAAAAAAAAAAAAAAAAAAAAAAAAAAAAAAAAAAAACTTGAGCAAACAAAATTGCAGCATCTCATTTTCCATTAATGCAAAGTCTTGGGGAATGATTTTTCATAAAAGATGATGCCCATATTAGTTCAACAAAGTTAAAACTAAAACTTGATATTATCAAAATCTCTCAATATACGCACTTGTATAAAAAATTTATCCTCAGCTTGACCTCTGCTCTGCAGTTTCCACAACAAAATACAACTTGTACCAAATCAGAGTTGCCACCATCCACGTGCCCGATAGAGACTAAAACTTCGGTTCCTTGATAAAGAATTAGATTTTAGATTTCCTCATTTCCATTGAACAAGAAAAACAGGGGGATGGCTGAAAATGGGTCCTTCGCAACTCTTCAGGTCTCCACGTTTCTACCAGATATACTTACACCTTCATAAATTCTTTCCCTTAGAAAAATGGTCCTTGCAACTTCATCTCACGTTCTCCAGATATTACTTTACACCTTCATAATTCTTCCCTTTAGACAAAAGTAGCCATTTAATGGATTAAAGCACTAATCATTCCCCCAAACATATGAAGCAAAGTCGCAAGATAAGCATTCCCAGGATGCAACCAATGGATTCCATAGCTAATTGTTAGTAAGTTAAAGCCATATATTATAATATAAAACTCCATCCATCAAAGACTGAACATCTAAATTTGATCATGTTGGATCTTAAGCATGTGCACCGATGCTATGCATCTATAGTGACTGTACCTTAAAACTAGCATATCATCAAATAAAAGAAAATCAAAGAGTCATTTTTTAAACTGAGTGTATAATATAAATACAGCCAATTAAATGTATTGATTCTCACCTTACAGGATAGAAATGTCAGAAGAAATGCAAAGCTTACAGTCAACCCCACCACTGATTAGACTATCACTTTTCCACCAGTCAGCACATAGCACCTGCATTACAGAACAGCCCTTGCATAAATAAAAAACTACTTATAAGACAGACATAAATAGATGCAATAGATGGCATTATACCTTGTCTTCATGTGATTCAATAACAGCTAGAGGCCACTGCAACAGAAATCAACTATTCAGAAAAGAAATCAACTATTCAAGAATCAACATTGCTCTTTTTTTTTTTTTTTTTTTTTTTTTTTTTTTTTTTTTTTTTTTTGCTAGGTCTACGGTCTTTAGAATATTTTTATGATGTAATGCAGGTAAGTTCACCCAAATCACATTTATTTATTAATTTATTTAATTGGACTAGACAAAAGCAAAGTGAAAGCTAAAAGATCAAACAAAGACAAAAATACAGTACCGCAGTTCTTAGATCCCACAACATAACTTTCCCATCATAGGATGAGGTAAGTAAATGAAACCAAGATTTATCATGCCACTTGCACTTTCCCATCATAGGATGAGGTAAGTAAATGAAACCAAGATTTATCATGCCACTTGCAGGCCGAAATCCAAGAAGTGTGAGAAGAGAACTGATAAATAGGAGCAGAAGATCCTACAAGAATAATGAAATTTTAATGTAAGTGAGAGAAAGAGGCAAAGAGGAGAGATATTACTATATGATCTAACAGACCTGGTTTTCGTGGATCCCATATCCTAAGGATAGCATCAGAGCCTCCGGCAGCAATGAGAGCTGAACCTTCTCCTCCAATGTGTACACAGTTGAGGGCTTTTCCACAGAACTCCATAAGTAGGATAAAATTATGTATTCAAATCTCCATGTGTCCATGTGCGTGCACGAGTGTGTGGTGGGGGGAAGCAATGTAAGATTATCCTCACTATCTTTGATGAATCTTTGCCTGTCTCCACATCCCAACGTCTAATAGAATGATCCCAGGATGCAGAATAGATTGTTTCACGTTCTGGCCAAACAACAGCAGATACACATTGTGAACAACAGCAGATACACATTGTGTATGGCCAACAAGTGTAGAAAAAGACTCCCCCTGAATGCAAGAGATGTCATGAACAATAACAAAAATCAATAGACAAAATTAAATTCCTAAGTCATGTTTCAAGGTCACATTGCAAGAAAGAATAGAAGCAATCCGCAACATGCCCACCACCCATAACATGCAATAATCTTTCAATTGCTTTCAATAGGAAAGGCCTTCTTTCTTAACTTTACCAATGAACAACTTGATCATCTAACCCAAAATGAAACCATGAATTATTTCAAACCACCCTATTTCTTTTTTCAGAAACCATGCTATTTCTTTTTTCAGAAGATAAGAAATATTTTATAACATATACAAAATTATTAAGTATTTGAGATGTGAACAACTACTAAGTATCAAGATTTCTATGAGTAATACACTTTGATTCTTAAATACCATCTAATTTCAGACTTCAACTGCTTGAGTTTAGTAGTTAAACTCTGAAATTCTGTTTTTCTCAAAGCCTTTTGGAACAAAAATGTGAGATCAACAAGTATACACAAGTAAAATGAAGCGTAGAGCATAAGCATCATGCAATACCTCTAACTGAGATTCCTCGGCTTCATTTTTCACTTTTCTCTTTTTAATTGACACCAAATTGCCTTCTGTATCAGAGTATCAGACTCATTTGTCCGCCAAACAAAATTGATTGTACAATCTCAATGAACCCGAGCAAATCTAAGTTATAGAATAATTGCAAAATGAAGAAATGAGCTTAAGGTTTCAATTTTTGAGCCACATAGACAATACTATCAAGAAGAATTAAAAGTGATAGAAAAAAACCATGCTTCAGAGTCTCTGCTGCAACACTCCTGTACAGATGCATTAATGTCACCGCAAAAATTTTGAAGGGCTCTAATCGTTGTTAAGGATGATTTTTATTGGCTCTTCTGGTGTCAAACTTTCTGGAGGACGCAATAAGTCATGGGAAAATATCAGTTTTATAAAACAGCAATTTTGGTCTAATTACCTTCCACAGCCTGAGAGTTTGATCTTTTGAGGCAGTGGCCACTGTAACAGTATCTGTATCTGCACATTGAGACATGGCTCTATGAATGGAAGGATAAAGAGTTAGCTACTACAACATGAAGCAAAAAAAGATAACAGCTTTCAAATCATCGATAAAACATCAAGTAAAGGAAAATCAATTAAAAAACCACATGAAGACAAATGCACATGATAATATCCTAACTAAGAAGTAAAAAGATATGCAGATGATCAAGGCAGATTAATCAGAATACCATCAAAACACTTAAGTCTAGAAAGCATCCATAATGTGGAAGGACCAAAAAGAAGATTAAAGGAAGTCTAGAAAGCATCCATAATGTGGAAGGACCAAAAAGAAGATTAAAGGAAGTCTAGAAAGCATCCATAATGTGGAAGGACCAAAAAGAAGATTAAAGGAAGTCTAGAAAGCATCCATAATGTGGAAGGAAATTTTATTTATAATAACTAAGGAAAACAATGTAAGGAGGAGATTAGTTGTCCAAACATCTAAACCACAAAGTGCAAGAGCATCTTTTGCTCCTTGTTTATACCTCCATGATTTATGATACCAACCGAAGTAATTGCATCACTGTGTCCCTCTAGCATATGCGTGCACTGTCCAGCACCTCTCCATACCCTGAAGATTATGGAAACAAAACTTCACGGAAACAAACTTCACTTAAGTTGGGATTCCTCATAATAGACTGAACAGAAAATAATGAGGTTTTAATGTATAGAAAGGATATACAAAACTTCTATTTATATTTTTTACCTTCCAATCCATCATAGCACCCAGTCAAAATGAACCTGCCAAAAACCAGAACTTAGAGCACTTTTTAAAAATAAATGAAACTTTAACAGTATGGTATGCCATTATGTATGCGCTTCATATTTTACGCTAAGATTACAATGCATTATCTTCATGGATGGACAATAACCTAGGTAAAGCATGCATAAATTATCGAAGAACAATCAATAATCCACATCTTATATACATGAGAGCTACTCAAACTGCTGTTTTCTACTAAGTTGCCATCTTAAATTGTTACAGATATTTTATCTTCAAATTATAAATAATCTTCAACATAAATGCTCTCATTCATAAGTGCCGAGTAAGTTGCCTAACCATAATAAAATTTCGTAATATAATCATCATATTTCTTCCCATGGTCAAAACCTTACTTCTCAATATAAATAAGCAAATTTATGCAATAAATAACTCAGTAAAACATTCAGACACAAGGAATAAAGAAGTATTAGGAAAGAAAGTCTTAAAAAAAAAAAAATCCTTAAATTTGAGCCACACGAAATACCTTAAGTCTATTTTTGGATAGTTTCAGTTTTAATGTCCTTATCCAATACTACAGAAACATGTCTTTATCTAATATTACAGAAATAGAACAACTACAGAAATAGAACAACTGTGCACTTATAAACTGTTGCCTCAGAAATTAAGAGTCGCAAAATGGAAACTGAATCCTTATATTCAAGGGATTCTTCTGAGTAAATAAATACCATTAAGAACTGAATAAACTGTGCTTACCGAGGACAAGATCCATCAACTGCACTAACCCAATCATAAGCTTATTTATATTGAGAAAATAAGTACATATAGTACCCTTTCCCATGAAAAAATGCAAAGGTCTCCAGCATCCATTGCCACCACACGAACCATTGCCACGACACGAACCATGCCTTGTCCTTATTAGAATTATAAATAGGTCCACAGGTTATAATGCTAGACTTATACTGTTTTCAAACTCCATTATATACATGCCAATGGAAAAACGACTTTTATTAAGAGTTGCAGTTTTTCTATTCATAAGCTTGTTTCTATCCAAACATAACAATAATGCTTTTATAATTGTTCCACTTGCACGCTAGAGAACATGACAACTGTGATAAGATGCGAAAGCTTTAACTGAAGCCTCCCAATGATTCATTAAAGAGGAATAGACTGGCCGAGTCAAGTCTAAACCCTAAGGCAATTACCCTTAGCCTAGATAACTAGACTGGCCGAGTCAAGTCTAAACCCTAAGGCAATTACCCTTAGCCTAGATAACTAAGGTGAGATAGCCATGACCAGAAGAGTCATAGGTTCTACCCCTCCCCGATATTCTAATTTGTAATTTGTAATATTTGTCCCTTCTGGGTTGAGCTGCTCTTCATGGGTTTTAATTTATTTTTCGTTTGAAATTGCAATTTTGTAAGTCTTAATTCTAGCACTGTTTTAATACAGATTGTAATATTTTTTGTACATAGTATTTAATGGCGCGGAAAAAAAAATTCTAAACTCAATATTTAGACTTTAGAAGTCAGTATGTATAGTAGAGAATTTAGGGTATGTTCGGCAAAATTAACTGTTCGATGGCTGTTAGTGTTGGAGAAGAGAACTTCAAATCATTTAGAAGTGATTTATTGCTGCAATTAAAGAAAAAATCAGAGGAAGTGAACAAATAAGTTTTAGAGGAATTTTATCAAATAGCTGATAGGCATAAAAGAACATCGTAATTGCCGGAAATATTAGATAATTTTATTAAACTCAAATTAGCCTTTATATAGGGTTAACAAAGCGACAAACAAATCTTAAAAACCGAAATATCTGACACTCTCTCAATCATGCCTCAACTAATTCAGAAAATAAACAATAAACAATTGCTAAAGGCTAAGTCACTAAAGTAAAAGAACTAGTTTTCGGCAGTAGATATTTTTGAATCAATTATTCACCGGGTGGTTGTTTTAGTAGCATTTAATTATTAGTTGTTCGAGTAGTTTTTCATAAAATACTAAAAGCTATTAGCTGTTTAAGTAGTTTTTCATGAAATACTAAAAGTTAAATGTTACATGGGTAACTTTTTCTAAGACAATACCTTAACCTCTAAAAGTTAATTCAAATGTTATGTTAACAAGCACTATAAAAAATAGCATTTAGAGTTTGGACCAATGAAAAAGCTAAAAGCTACCTAAAATATTGTTGTCAAACACGACCTTAGGATGACCGGTGTTTCTACTGGTTTTCATTTATCAAATATATTAAAAAAATAATTTGAGGACAAAATATATTTAAATTTGTTATTTAGTATTTTAAACAAAGAAATAGTTGTCCAAATAAAGGAAGTATAAAAATTTATTTAATTTTGTCTCATAATTCTTTTTAATGGATAATTACACTCTTATTATCTGATTTTTTTTTTTTCGTTTTTAATTTCAATTTTTGAACTCCTTTCTTTGTAATGAACTTTTTGGCGCAATAAGCTAATGGAAAACTTCAGTTGGAGTTAATTATTGGAGCTGGTTGGCAATAAGCTAATGGAAAACTTCAGTTGGAGTTAATTATTGGAGCTGGTTGCGCGTCTCCTCAGCCAAATGGGCTTAAGATGTCTTGTTTTCTTCTTTTTAATTTGTATTATTACTTAATTATATTTATCTTCTTAGATTTTGTTTGGGAAGAAAAGACGAGAAAAGAAAAGATTGGAGGAAAAAAAATAATTGAGGAAGATCTATTTACTTTTCAACAATGTAGTTTTGCGGCTATTTACAAAAATAGTGTCAAAAAAATATATATATAATTGTTCAAGACCACACCAATGAACTTTTTTATCGTTGGTTAAAAAATATTTTTAAATCGATTAATTGTTTTTTTCACAGATATAATATAATAGTACATTTGTTACATTTATAGTGTACAATTTGTTCTTAAAAAATAAAAATCAGACTATCTTTGTAAATATTTTCAAGACTACAGCATTTAGATATTTTCACACTATTTTCTAAATTCTTCGCAATTTTTTCAATTCATTCGAAGAAAATAATGCATGTTTTCCTTCCTTAGATATTTTTCTCAACCTTTTAAAAAATTAAAGGAAAATTTTTTCAGTTGATATTTTTCCTTAAATAAAAAAAAAAAGGGTTAAGCAACTAATTACCATAGTATTGTTATTCTGTCAAATTCTCACCAGACATCTATCAGTGTGAATCTTATTTTGCCATTTTAGTTACTTATTTTTCTTGATAAACATTGTTCGAATCCAGAAGAATATACTGTTAGGACCCTCCCCTTCTATCAACTTGTACGATTGAGAAGTACTTCTGGCATATTTGTGGACTAAAAGTCTTCTATTTCATTGTCAGTATCTGCATAATTTCATAACATCTAGGCTGGACCGAAGGAAAAGAAAAGTTGATTAAACAATTGTTGTTTGGAATTTTCTTTTTTCTTAGATAAAGACTTGTGATAGAACCAATTAAATTTTGGTTACCATCCAAAAAGGAAATAATTCTTTCGAAAATCACAAATTGACAGAATTTATTCTTTATACAAAAATATCTTATATTCAACTTGTGTAGTCCTACAAAACACGTATTCTTTATGATATGAACGAAATCAAAATTATGTAACGAGGCTATTTATATGTAACGAGGCTATTTATCTCAAATTTTACATTATGTTGCATATTTTAAAAAAATAAAATTGTTCAATTTATCTACCAACTAGGAGTGAAATTGAGTTTTCTTTTCAATTTAAAATACAATTGCAAAAAAGATTTCCTCAGAATTGTAGTAGGCATGAGATCTGTAGTTATTCTGTATCCTTTCTAACCTATAACTTAGAACCACAGCTGTAGGATATTATCTTATTTAGGATCCTTAATTGATGATTGTAAATCCCTTTAGATAGTATCCATATTAGCAAAGTTGATTTTGTTTGTAAGTCCAAGAATCAATGCATTGCTCCAGCAACTGTTTTTGTAAGTCCACAAGTTGTAATGCTAGTTTACAATTTTTCCAAAATTTTTTTCCAACTCTCTTATCGTCATTCTCTTTTTGCCTATATAATATATATATATATATTATATATTATCCAAACACTTGGACGCTAGGCAACATGTCTATCTACAGGTTTATAAGTTGAAGGTTGAACTACTGAGACGACATTTGAAAGCTTGACTAAAGGCTGCGGATTTATCCAAACTAACCGAGTCTAAAGTTTATGACTTGCTAAAACATTAACTTATTGGCAAATACACTCAATATTAAGATGTTCGCCAAAGGTTAAATTCACTCTGTAATTTGTTCACAAAAAATTATAAAACATTCTCAATTTGTAATTTAATCCATTGAATATATAAACTTCTGAAATAAAATTTATTTAATATTTTAATTTATAAAATCATTTTATTAAACACTCAAATTTATAAATTTAGATCAATTAAAAAGTTATATCGATCACACGTCAAATTGATATTTTTAATGAAAGAACGTGTGATGTTACCAAAACCACCAAAACTCAGTAACTTTAGTCGTACAATAAGCCCTCCATATAATTTGCACTGCCACAAAATTTTTCGACAAAAAAATATACAATGTATATAGACCTTTCGATTTTTAGAGGTCCATATACAAAGTAGCCCATTTGGGATGGGTGGCCTTTGTAGTTTTTATTTCTCTAATATATAAACAAAAATTATAATATATAAACAAAAATTATAGGTAAAATGTATTTAATTTTTTAATTTTATTATTTATTCATTATCTTGAACAGATGAATTTCATACAATTTTTAGAATTTATTTGATTTTAAAATTTGGAATTTATTTATTCATTATATAACTAGTTGTATAATGTTTAGGAAATGTTGATATTTTACCTCTATGATTGTTGTGATATAGGCAACCACTTTACAAATAATTATTATTGCTAAGCTATGAAAATGGGTGAAATAGAGTCATGAAGGGATCAGCCACTCGCTCTATTCACCAATCAATTACAAAAACAAACTCGCTCTATTCACCAATCAATTACAAAAACAAACCCGATTAATGAAAATATATTTTGGATTTTAATTAAATTCGTCAAAAATAATGTAAATGGCAATTTCGAACAAAAAAAATATATATTATTAATATTATCTTTAGGTAAGGAGGCAGCAGAAACATCTTAGCAAAAGATTAAGAAAAATGTCATTTTGAAGGAGATTAGCCCCTCATCATGTCCAATAAATCAATCAAAATGTTCAAATTATTAGTAATTGTATATACTCCTTGTCAATAAATCCAGATTTCAATTTCGTCTATTTGTCCAAATCAATTTTTTAAAAGGAGCAATTTCGAATGCAGCCAACAAGTCAATGTCAAAAAACCACCACTTGCTATTCACAGCTCTCTCCCCAGTTGTATTTGCATATGAAATAAACACCGACCCTAGAAAATAGTACTAAAAAAAGGCAGAATGAGAAGCCTTTCTCTAGCGGTGGTGGTGATTTTGATTCTGATGAGCAGAAGCAGTTGTCCGGGAACTGTTAGTAATCCGCAAGAAATGATTAGCAGCTACTCCTTTTCCTTTTCCATAGCAGACACCAACATGGAATTAGAGTTGATGATGGACTCCGAGACTAACAGAATGCTTGAAGGTAGTTCCCCACGCGGAACTGACAATGTGGGAAGTCGTAACCGTCCTGCTCTTGGTTGCGGTCGGGGGAAACGCTACTGCCTTCCTTCTAAAAATACCAATCCTCAAAGATGTGGCCTGTACGACCGTGCACGAAGCTGCTAAAGATGAATCGTCAAATATTGGCTTTTAAGGGGAACTCAGGATCACACCAAATGGTATGTTGAGATCGAATTCTCATAATTTATAAATGATTTGGAAATAACATAATTTATAAATGATTTGGAAATAACACTCGGCCAAAATCATTAATTGATGTTATATATTACATTACTTCATCTTCGTTAAAGTTGTTTTATGTGTAATGTGTTGCTTTAATTAATAAATTTATGTATTAATATGAAAGTTTCCAATTTTTAGTCAATAAATCATGACTCCCTCTTTTGTGCATTTGGTTTATTGAATTTATTCTATCGAATAAAATACTCCACTTATCTAAAATGAATGTACTTCTGTTATTTATATTCATGGGTGGGATATATTTTAATATTTAGCTAAAAGTTACTGAAACAGTTAATATTATCAAATAAAACTTTATTCAATTTTAATTTATAAAAAAATAAATTTTATTTTTAACTTCTTGCTATTATTAAATTATCCAACAAAGGGAAAATTTTACTATTGATTAATCCTCCCTCCGTTCTATTTATATAAAGAAAGCCACTAATTTTTTATATAATTTTCACTAATTTTTTACTAATATAATTCTTAATTAAATGTAAGTATCAGTCATAATAGAATATTTTATCTCTATATAATATAATTCTTAATTAAATGTAAGTATCAGTCATAATAGAATATTTTATCTCTATATATATGTTTACTTCTTGTTTTATTGGTCATTATTTACTTTTTTATTTATAATTTATAATTTATATGTTTTTTATAATTTGGTATTTTGTTGAGAGTAGAGAATATTAGGATGGTGAAAAAAAATATGGTAATTAATAATGATAAATTGCCCTATTTTAATTAGCTAAAAAATAAATTAAGAAACTATTATTTTTATAGCAATATTTAATTTGATTGGTCAAATATTTTTAGAAGATAATAATTGTTAAGGTATAGATAAATAATTTGAAATAATGTTTAACAAAAAAAATACAATATAAGAGCTAATTAGATAGTGGTTTAGTTGACTTTCTCATTTTATGTTAGGAGTGGGAGATCTTAAGTTTGAGTTCTTTTAATCACAGTTATTTTTACCAATTTACAAGTTTAAGTGCACAATAGACACTTAGCAAAGTTTGTATTTTTTTAGTGAACATTTGCATTTTATTATCCAACAGTTTTATATCAACACCGTATCATGGATAAGGATGATTAAATGACTTGATTTGTTGGATATCGGGATCCAATTCGCATGGAGTGTATAAAATCCGATCCATTTAATAGTTAATTGAATATGAATTTTTAAAATAAAATCCACATGAATATAAGATAAAATACAGATATAGCATAATACGATCCAAAACTGATCCGTAAAATTTTTTTTTTTTTTTACATTTTTTTTAATTGTTGATTTGTAATTCTACATGTGAAATTTTAGATGTGCAGCTACCTTCTCTCTCTCCTTTTCCATTTATATTTTAAATCATTATCTCTAACTCTCACCATTTTTTTCTTTTTTTTTTATCTTTACTTCAAACAAAAGAATGAGTTAAACATTATGATCACTGGCTTGATTTCTTTTGCGCTTAACAAATTTTAAACTCTCTTCTAGTCGTCATAGTATACAATATTTCCAATTATTGTGAAGAATTTTTGTGTTTTCAAGCAAGAAAAACAATATGAATTTTTATAAAATTATTGTTCTGTTTTTATTTTTCTTTTCAACATAATAAAAAAAGGATAATATTTGATCCGGTTCGCTCCAATATCCGATCCATTCGAATCCAAATAGAGCGGATATGAACATAGATATATGAATATATTGGCAGATCGAACAACAAAAATCCATCTTAAACAACAAAAAAAAACTGAGCAAACAAAATTGCAGCGTCTCATTTTCCATTTATGCAAAGTCTTGGGGAATGATTTTTCATAAAAGATGATGCCCAAATTAGTTCAACTAAGTTAAAAATAAAACTTGATATTATAAAACTTGATATTATCAAAATCTCTCAATATACGCACTTGTATAAAAAATTTATCCTCAGCTTGACCTCTGCTCTGCAGTTTCCACAACAAAATACAACTTGTACCAAATCGGAGTTGCCACCATCCACGTGCCCGATAGAGACTAAACCTTCGGTTCCTTGATAAAGAATTAGATTTCCTCATTCATAAAGAAAACAAGGGGGATGGCGAAAATGGTCCTTGCAACTTCATCTCACGTTCTCCAGATATTACTTTACACAAAATGGTCCTTGCAACTTCATCTCACGTTCTCCAGATATTACTTTACACCTTCATAATTCTTCCCTTTAGACAAAAGTAGCCATTTAATGGATTAAAGCACTAATCATTCCCCCAAACATATGAAGCAAAGTCGCAAGATAAGCATTCCCAGGATGCAACCAATGGATTCCATAGCTAATTGTTAGTAAGTTAAAGCCATATATTATAATATAAAACTCCATCCATCAAAGACTGAACATCTAAATTTGATCATGTTGGATCTTAAGCATGTGCACCGATGCTATGCATCTATAGTGACTGTACCTTAAAACTAGCATATCATCAAATAAAAGAAAATCAAAGAGTCATTTTTTAAACTGAGTGTATAATATAAATACAGCCAATTAAATGTATTGATTCTCACCTTACAGGATAGAAATGTCAGAAGAAATGCAAAGCTTACAGTCAACCCCACCACTGATTAGACTATCACTTTTCCACCAGTCAGCACATAGCACCTGCATTACAGAACAGCCCTTGCATAAATAAAAAACTACTTATAAGACAGACATAAATAGATGCAATAGATGGCATTATACCTTGTCTTCATGTGATTCAATAACAGCTAGAGGCCACTGCAACAGAAATCAACTATTCAGAAACGAATCAACTATTCAGAATCGCAAATTGCTCTTTTCTTTTTTTTTTTTTTTTTTGCTAGGTCTAGCAGTCCTTTAGAATATTTTATTTGTAATTTTAGGTAAGTTCACCCAAATCCAATTTATTTATTAATATTAATTTAAATTTGGAACTAGGGCAAAAGCAAAGTGAAGCTAAGATCAACAAAGACAAAAATACAGTACCCTTGCAGTCTACGATCCCACAACATGCTTTCCCATCATAGGATGAGGTAAGTAAATGAAACCAAGATTTATCATGCCACTTGCAGGCCGAAATCCAAGAAGTGTGAGAAGAGAACTGATAAATAGGAGCAGAAGATCCTACAAGAATAATGAAATTTTAATGTAAGTGAGAGAAAGAGGAAGAGAGGAGAAATATTACTTTATGATCTAACAGACCTGGTTTTCGTGGATCCCATATCCTAAGGATAGCATCAGAGCCTCCGGCAGCAATCAGAGCTGAACCTTCTCCTCCAATGTGTACACAGTTGAGGGCTTTTCCACAGAACTGCATAAGTAGGATAAAATTATGTATTCAAATTAGGATAAAATTATGTATTCAAATCTCCATGTGTCCATGTGCGTGCACGAGTGTGTGGTGGGGGGAAGCAATGTAAGATTATCCTCACTATCTTTGATGAATCTTTGCCTGTCTCCACATCCCAACGTCTAATAGAATGATCCCAGGATGCAGAATAGATTGTTTCACGTTCTGGCCAAACAACAGCAGATACACATTGTGTATGGCCCACAAGTGTAGAAAAAGACTCCCTCTGAATGCAAGAGATGTCGTGAACAATAACAAAAATCAATTGAACAATAACAAAAATCAATAGACAAAATTAAATTCCTAAGTCATGTTTCAAGGTCACATTGCAAGAAAGAATAAAAGCAATCCGCAACATGCCCACCACCCATAACATGCAATAATCTTTTAATTGCTTTTCAATAGGAAAGGCCTTCTTTCTTAACTTTCCCAATGAACAACTTGATCATCTAACCCAAAATGAAACCATGAATTATTTCAAACCATGCTATTTCTTTTTTCAGAAGATAAGAAATATTTTATAACATATACAAAATTATTAAGTATTTGAGATGTGAACAACTACTAAGTATCAAGATTTCTATGAGTAATACACTTTGATTCTTAAATACCATCTAATTTCAGACTTCAACTGCTTGAGTTTAGTAGTTAAACTCTGAAATTCTGTTTTTCTCAAAGCCTTTTGGAACAAAAATGTGAGATCAACAAGTATACACAAGTAAAATGAAGCGTAGAGCATAAGCATCATGCAATACCTCTAACTGAGATTCCTCGGCTTCATTTTTCACTTTTCTCTTTTTAATTGACACCAAATTGCCTTCTGTATCAGACCTTCTGTATCAGACGTCCATTTGTCTCCGCCACAAATTGGATTGTACAATCCCAAGAACCCTGAGCAAACTCTAAGTTTATAAATAATTGCAAATGAGAAATGAGCTTAAGTTTCATTTTTGACCACATAGACAATACTACAAGAAGAAATTAAAAGTGATAGAAAAAAAAACCATGCTTCCAGAAGTCTCTGCTGCAACACTCTGTACAGATGCCATTAGTGTCCACAAGCAAAATTTTGAAAGGCTCCCTAAATCGTTGTAGGATGATTTTTATGCTCTTTGCTGTGTCAAACTTTCTGGAGAAGTGGAACGCAATAAGTCATGGGAAAATATCAGTTTTATAAAACAGCAATTTTGGTCTAATTACCTTCCACAGCCTGAGAGTTTGATCTTTTGAGGCAGTGGCCACTGTAACAGTATCTGTATCTGCACATTGAGACATGGCTCTATGAATGGAAGGATAAAGAGTTAGCTACTACAACATGAAGCAAAAAAAGATAACAGCTTTCAAATCATCGATAAAACATCAAGTAAAGGAAAATCAATTAAAAAACCACATGAAGACAAATGCACATGATAATATCCTAACTAAGAAGTAAAAAGATATGCAGATGATCAAGGCAGATTAATCAGAATACCATCAAAACACTTAAACAAGTCTAGAAAGCATCCATAATGTGGAAGGACCAAAAAGAAGATTAAAGGAAGTCTAGAAAGCATCCATAATGTGGAAGGACCAAAAAGAAGATTAAAGGAAGTCTAGAAAGCATCCATAATGTGGAAGGACCAAAAAGAAGATTAAAGGAAGTCTAGAAAGCATCCATAATGTGGAAGGAAATTTTATTTATAATAACTAAGGAAAACAATGTAAGGAGGAGATTAGTTGTCCAAACATCTAAACCACAAAGTGCAAGAGCATCTTTTGCTCCTTGTTTATACCTCCATGATTTATGATACCAACCGAAGTAATTGCATCACTGTGTCCCTCTAGCATATGCGTGCACTGTCCAGCACCTCTCCATACCCTGAAGATTATGGAAACAAAACTTCACTGGAAACAAAACTTCACTTAAGTTGGGATTCGCTCATAAAGATGAACAAGAAAATAATGAGGTTTTAATGTATAGAAAGGATATACAAAACTTCTATTTAATTTTTACGCTTCCAAAATCCATCATAGCACCCAGTCAAAATGACCTGCCCAAAAACCAGAACTTAGAGCACTTTTTTAAAAAAATAAATGAAACTTTAACAAGTATGTATCCATTATGTATGCCCTATCATATTTTACGCTAAAGATTTACAATGCATTATCTTCATGATGGACAATTAACCTATGTAAAGCATGCCATAAATTATCGAAGAACATCCAATATCCAATCTTATATACATGAGAGCTACTCAAAACTCTGTTTTCCCTGTTGCCATCTTAAATTGTTACAGATATTTTATCTTCAAATTATAAATAATCTTCAACATAAATGCTCTCATTCATAAGTGCCGAGTAAGTTGCCTAACCATAATAAAATTTCGTAATATAATCATCATATTTCTTCCCATGGTCAAAACCTTACTTCTCAATATAAATAAGCAAATTTATGCAATAAATAACTCAGTAAAACATTCAGACACAAGGAATAAAGAAGTATTAGGAAAGAAAGTCTTAAAAAAAAAAAAATCCTTAAATTTGAGCCACACGAAATACCTTAAGTCTATTTTTGGATAGTTTCAGTTTTAATGTCCTTATCCAATACTACAGAAACATGTCTTTATCTAATATTACAGAAATAGAACAACTGTGCACTTATAAACTGTTGCCTCAGAAATTAAGAGTCGCAAAATGGAAACTGAATCCTTATATTCAAGGGATTCTTCTGAGTAAATAAATACCATTAAGAAGTGAATAAACTATGCTTACCGAGGACAAGATCCATCAACTGCACTAACCCAATCATTATGTAAAGAAGGCTCCTCCTGTTTCCGAGGAGCCACTGATTTTATGTATTCAATTTCCAGTGTCTTCTCCTGTAATAGAGTCATAATTTCTAATAATGCATCAGATGGGAAAAAGAAAAAAAAAAAATCCACCGACTATCGCCTAGCATTAGAAAATTTCAATCAACCTTGGCACGTTGCCTACAAAGCGTCCAAAGCTATTGAAATTTGATAAAGCACGGTACCATTATCAACTTGCAAATGTCAAAATATAACTTATGGATAATTAGTATCCTATTTCAGCTCTTTATGTCTCCTTTCTTTCAAGATTACATATACTTTCTACTATACACTTCCAGGGTCAACCAAAACAGGGGAAAAAATAGTAATTACCGCCGAAATTCCCTTAGCGAGAAGAAACTGCTCAAGTGACATGCGAACAAGACTGGCCGAGTCAAGTCTAAACCCTAAGGCAATTACCCTTAGCCTAGATAACTAAGGTGAGATATCCATGACCAGAAGAGTCATAGGTTCTACCCCTCCCCGATATTCTAATTTGTAATTTGTAATATTTGTCCCTTATGGGTTGAGCTGCTCTTCATGGATTTTAATTTAATTTTTGTCTGAAATTGTAATTTTGTAAGTCGGCTTTAATTCTAGTACTGTTTTAATACAGATTGTAATATCTTTTTGTACATAGTATTTAATGGAGCAGAAAAAAAATTCTAAACTCAATATTTAGACTTTAAAAGTCATTATGCATAGTAGCTCATTTAAGATATGTTCGGCAAAATTAACTGTTCTATGGCTATTAGTGTTAGAGAAGAGAACTTCAAATCATTTAGAAGTGATTTATTGCTGCAATTAAAGAAAGATATTAAAGGAAGTGAACAAATAAGTTTTAGAGGAATTTTATCAAATAGCTGATAGGCATAAAAGAACATCGTAACTGCTGGAAATATTAGATAATTTTATTAAACTCAAATTAGCCTTTATATAGGCTTAACAAAGCGACAAACAAATCTTAAAAACCGAAATATTTGACACTGTCTCAATCATGCCTCAACTAATTCAGAAAATAAAGGAAACAATAAACAAGTGCTAAAGACTAAGCCACTAAAGTAAAAGAACTAGTTTCCAGCGCTAGATATTTTTGAATCAATTATTCAACAGGTGGCTGTTTTAGTGGCGTTTAGCTATTAGCTGTTTGAATAGTTTTTCATGAAATACTAAAAGCTAAATGTTACATGGATAACTTTTTATAAAACAATACCTTAACTTCTAAAAGCTAATTCAAATGTTATATTAATAAGCACTATAAAAAATAGCGTTTAGTGTTTGGACTAGTGAAAAAGCTAAAAGCTACCTAAAATGTTGTTGTCAAACACGACTTTAGGATGATCGGTGTTTCTACTAGTTTTTATTTATCAAATATATTAAAAAAATAATTGTAGGACAAAATATATTTAAATTTGTTATTTAGTATTTTAAACAAAGAAATAATTTGTTTATTTTAAGTATTTTTAAACAAAGAATTGTTATTTAGTATTTTAAACAAAGAAATAGTTGTCCAAATAAAGGAAGTATAAAAATTTATTTAATTTTGTCTCATAATTTTTTTTAATGGATAATTACACTCTTATTATCTGATTTTTTTTTTTTTTTCGTTTTTAATTTCAATTTTTGAACTCCTTTCTTTGTAATGAACTTTTTGGCGCAATAAGCTAATGGAAAACTTCAGTTGGAGTTAATTATTGGAGCTGGTTGCGTGTCTTCTCAGCCAAATGGGCTTGAGATGTCTTGTTTTCTTATTTTTAATTTTTCTAACTATTCCAATATATATATTTATCTATGGTTACATGCTGTTTAATTTGTATTATTACTTAATTATATTTATCTTCGTAGATTTTGTTTGGAAAGAAAAGAAGAGAAAAGAAAAGATTGGAGGAAAAAAATAATTGAGGAAGATTTATTGAAAAGCATTTTGCGGCAATTTACAAAAATAGTGTCAAAAAAAATATAATCGTTACAAAATGGTCTATATACATTGTATTTTTACATTGTTATTGTTATATTTTAAATATCACATTTCATGAAGGAGATTGAAATTTCGGACGCAACTAAAAAAGTTATCGTCGGTTAAAAAAGATTTAAATCAATTAATTGTTTTTTTCACAGATATAATATAATATTACATCTGTTACATTTATAGTGTACAATTTGCTCTTAAAAAGTCAAAATCAGACTATCTTTGTAAATATTTTCAAGACCACACCATTTAGATCTTTTCACACTATTTTCCAAATTCTTCGCAATTTTTTCAATTCATTCGAAGAAAATAATGCATGTTTTCCTTCCTTAGATATTTTTCTGAACCTTTTAAAAAATTAAAGGAAAATTCTTTCAGTTGATATTTTTCCTTAAATAAAAAAAAAAAGGGTTAAGCAACTAATTACCATAGTATTGTTATTCTGTCAAATTCTCACCAGACATCTATGTGTGTCGAATCTTATTTTGCTATTTTAGTTACTTATTTTTCTTGATAAACATTCTATCACCTTGTACGATTGAAAAATACTTCTGCCATATTTGTGGACTAAAAGTCTTCTATTTCATTGTCAATATCTGCATAATTTCATAACATCTAGGCTGGACCGAAGGAAAAGAAAAGTTGATTAAACAATTGTTGTTTGGAATTTTCTTTTTTCTTAGATAAAGACTTGTGATAGAACCAATTAAATTTTGGATACCATCCAAAAAGAAAATAATTCTTTCGAAAATCACAAATTGACAGAACGAAATCAAAACTATGTAACGAGGCTATTTATCTCAAATTTTACATTATGTTGCATATTTTAAAAAAATAAAATTGTTCAATTTATCCACTAACTAGGAGAGAAATTGAGTTTTCTTTTCAATTTAAAATACAATTGCAAAAATTTTTCTTTTATTTAAAATACAATTGCAAAAAAAGAGTTCCTCAAAATTGTAGTAGGCAGGAGGTCTGTAGTTATTCTGTATCCTTCCTAACCTATAACTTAGAACCACAGCTGTAGGATATTATCTTATTTAGGATCCTTAATTGATGATTGTAAATCCCTTTAGGATATTATCCCTATTAGCAAAGTAGATTTTGTTTGTAAGTCCAAGAATCAATGCGTTGCTCGAGCAACTGTTTTTGTAAGTCCAAACGTTGTAATGCTAGTTTACAATTTTTCCAAACTCTCTTATCTCATTCTCTTTTGGCTATATATATATATATATATATAAATATAATATATATATATCCAAACACTTGGACGGCTAGGCAACATGTCTATCTACATGTTTATAAGTTTGAAGGTTTTGAAACTACTGAGACGATATGTGGAAGCTTGACTAAAGGTGGCCGATTTATGATTTATCCAAACTAACCGAGTCTAAAGTTTATGACTTGCTAAAACATTAACTTATTGGCAAATACACTCAATATTAAGATGTTCGCCAAATGTTAAATTCACTCTGTAATTTGTTTACAAAAAATTATAAAACATTCTCAATTTGTAATTTAATCCATTAAATATTTAAACTTATAAAATTAAATTTGTTTAATACTTTAATTTATAAAATCATTTAATTGAATACTCAAATTTATAAATTTAAATCGATTAAAAAGTTATATCGATCACACGTCAAATTGATATTTTCAATGAAAGAACGTGTGATATTACCAAAACCACAAAAAATAGTAACTTTAGTTGTACAATAAGCCCTCCATATATAATTTGCACTGCCACAAAATTTTTCGACAAAAAAATATACAATGTATATAGACCTTTCGATTTTTAGAGGTCCATATACAAAGTAACCCATTTGGGATGGTTGGCATTTGTAGTTTTTATTTCTCTAATATATAAACAAAAATTATAGGTAAAATGTATTTAATTTTTTAATTTTATTATTTATTCATTATCTTGAACAGATGAATTTCATACAATTTTTAGAATTTATTTGATAAAATTGAATTTTCATACAATTTTTAGAATTTATTTGAAATTTTTAAAATTTTTGGAATTTAATTTATTCAATTAATATATAACTAGTTGCATAAATGTTTAGGAAATGTTTTGATAATTTTTTTTACCCTCTATGATTGTTGTTTGATGTACGGCCAAACCCACTTTACAAATAATTATTTATAATGCCTAAGCCTATGAAAAATGGATGCCCGTGAAAATAATAGAAGTCATTGAAAGGGAAATCAGTCCCTCGCTCTAATTCACCAATCAATTTTTTACAAAAAACAAACCCCGATTTTAATGAAAATTATATTTTGGGAATTTTTTAATTAAACTCGCTCTATTCACCAATCAATTACAAAAACAAACCCGATTAATGAAAATATATTTTGGATTTTAATTAAATTCGTCAAATATAATGTAAATGGCAATTTCGAACAAAAAAAATATATATTATTAATATTATCTTTAGGTAAGGAGGCAGCAGAAACATCTTAGCAAAAGATTAAGAAAAATGTCATTTTGAAGGAGATTAGCCCCTCATCATGTCCAATAAATCAATCAAAATGTTCAAATTATTAGTAATTGTATGTTCTCCTTGTCAATAAATCCAGATCTCAATTTCGTCTATTTGTCCAAATCAATTTTTTAAAAGCAGCCAACAAGTCAATGTCAAAAAACCACCACTTGCTATTCACAGCTCTCTCCCCAGTTGTATTTGCATATGAAATAAACACCGACACTAGAAAATAGTACTAAAAAAAGGCAGAATGAGGAGTCTTTCTCTAGCGGTGGTGGTGATTTTGATTCTGATGAGCAGAAGCAGTTGTCTGGGAGCTGTTAGTAATCCGCAGGAAATGATTAGCAGCAACTCCTTTTCCTTTTCCATAGCAGACACCAACATGGAATTAGAGTTGATGATGGACTCCGAGACTAACAGAATGCTTGCAGGTATTCCCCAACGCGGAACTGGCACAGCGTTAAATCGTAACCGTGCTGTTTTTGGTTGCGGTCAGGGGAAAGGCTACTGCCTTCCTCCTGAAAATAACAATCGTAAAGGATGCGACAGGCTCTACCGTGGTGGAAGCTGCTAAAGATGAATCGTCAAATATTGGCTTTTAAGGGGAACTCAGGATCACACCAAATGGTATGTTGAGATCGAATTCTCCTAATTTATAAATGATTTGGAAATAACACTCGGCCAAAATCATTAATTGATGTTATATATTACATTACTTCATCTTCTTTAAAGTTGTTTTATGTGTACTGTACAATATTTCATCTTTTTCTTTAAAGTTGTTTTATGTGTACTGTGTTGCTTTAATTTTAAAATAAAAAATTTATGTGAAGCTGCTAAAGATGAATCGTCAAATATTGGCTTTTAAGGGGAACTCAGGATCACACCAAATGGTATGTTGAGATCGAATTCTCCTAATTTATAAATGATTTGGAAATAACACTCGGCCAAAATCATTAATTGATGTTATATATTACATTACTTCATCTTCTTTAAAGTTGTTTTATGTGTACTGTGTTGCTTTAATTAATAAATTTATGTATTAATATGAAAGTTTCCAATTTTTAGTCAACACCATCATGACTCCCTCTTTTGTGCATTTGGTTTATTGAATTTATTCTATCGAATAAAATACTCCACTTATCTAAAATGAATGTACTTCTGTTATTTATATTCATGGGTGGGATATCTCTTAATATTTAGTTACTGAAACAGTTAATATTATCAAATAAAATTTTATTCAATTTTAATTTATAAAAAAATAAATTTTATTTTTAACTTCTTGCTATTATTAAATTATCCAACAAAGGGAAAATTTTTTTTATTGAGTATTGATTAATTCTCCGTCCGATTCTATTTATATAGAGAAAGTCACTAATTTTTTATATAATTTTCACTAATTTCTTACCAATATAATTCTTAATTAAATGTAAGTATCAGTCATAACAGAATATTTTTTCTATTTATATGTTTACTTCTTGTTTTATTGGTCATTATTTACTTTTTTATTTGTGATTTATAATTTATATATTTTTTATAATTTGGTCTTTTCTTGAGAGTAGAGAATATTAGGATGGTGAAAAAAAATAAATTAGCTAAAAAATAATATTTAATTAGCTAAAAAATAAATTAAGAAACCATTATTTTTATAGCAATATTTAATTTGATTGGTCAAATATTTTTAGAAGATAATAATTGTTAAGGTATACATAAATAATTTGAAATAATGTTTAAAAAAAAATACAATATAAGAGCTAATTAGGTAGTGATTTAGTTGACTTTCTCATTTTATGTTAGGAGTGTGAGATCTTAAGTTTGAGTCCTTTCAACCACAGTTATTTTTACCAATTTACAAGTTTAAGTGCACAATAAACACTTAGCAAAGTATTTATTTTTTAGTGAACATTTGCATTTTATTATCCAACAGTTTTATATCAACACCATATCATGGATAAGGATGATTAAATGACTTGATTTGTTGGATATCGGGATCCAATTCGCATGGAGTGTATAAAATCTAATCTATTTAATGGTTAATTGGATATAAATTTTTAAAATAAAATCCACATCAAATACAGATATAGCATAATACGATCCAAAACTGATCCGTAAAATTTTTTTTTTTTTTACATTTTTTTAAATTGTTGATTTGTAATTCTACATGTGAAATTTTAGATGTGCAGCCTTTATTCTTCTCTTTCTCTCCTTTTCCATTTATATTTTAAATCATTATCTCTAACTCTCACCATTTTTTCATTTTTCATTTTTTTTTTTTTTTTAATCTTTACTTCAAACAAAAGAATGAGTTAAACATTATGATCACTAGCTTGATTTCTTTTGCGCTTAACAAATGTTAAACTCTCTTCTAGTTGTCATAGTATACAATATTTCCAATTATTGTGAAGAATTTGTGTTTTCAAGCAAGAAAAATAATATGAATTTTTAAACAATTATTGTTCTGTTTTTATTTTTCCTTTCAACATAATAAAAAACGAATAATATCTGATTCGATCCGCTTTGATATCCGATCCATTCGAATCCAAACAGAGGGTATATGGACAAAGATATTTGAATATAATGGAACAACAAAAATCCATCTTCAACAACAAATAAAAAAAAACTCGAGCAAACAAATTGTAGCGTCTCATTTTCCATTTATGAAAAGTCTTGGGGAATGATTTTTCATAAAAGATGATGCCCAAATTAGTTCAACTAAGTTAAAACTAAAACTTGATATTATCAAAATCTCTCAATATACGCACTTGTATAAAAAATTTATCCTCTTGACCTTGAGCTGCTCTGCAGTTACCACAACAAAATACAACTTGTACCAAATCAGAGTTGCCACCATCCACGTGCCCGATAGAGATTAAACCTTCGGTTCCTTGATAAAGAATTAGATTTCCTCATTCATAAAGAAAACAAGGGGGATGGCAAAAAATGGTCCTTGCAACTTCATCTCACGTTCTCCAGATATTACTTTACACCTTCATAATTCTTCCCTTTAGACAAAAGTAGCCATTTAATGGATTAAAGCACTAATCATTCCCCCAAACATATGAAGCATTCATAATTCTTCCCTTTAGACAAAAGTAGCCATTTAATGGATTAAAGCACTAATCATTCCCCCAAACATATGAAGCAAAGTCGCAAGATAAGCATTCCCAGGATGCAACCAATGGATTCCATAGCTAATTGTTAGTAAGTTAAAGCCATATATTATAATATAAAACTCCATCCATCAAAGACTGAACATCTAAATTTGATCATGTTGGATCTTAAGCATGTGCACCGATGCTATGCATCTATAGTGACTGTACCTTAAAACTAGCATATCATCAAATAAAAGAAAATCAAAGAGTCATTTTTTAAACTGAGTGTATAATATAAATACAGCCAATTAAATGTATTGATTCTCACCTTACAGGATAGAAATGTCAGAAGAAATGCAAAGCTTACAGTCAACCCCACCACTGATTAGACTATCACTTTTCCACCAGTCAGCACATAGCACCTGCATTACAGAACAGCCCTTGCATAAATAAAAAACTACTTATAAGACAGACATAAATAGATGCAATAGATGGCATTATACCTTGTCTTCATGTGATTCAATAACAGCTAGAGGCCACTGCAACAGAAATCAACTATTCAGAACCTAGAGGCCACTCCTGCCACAGAAATCAACCTATTTCCAGCCCAACCCAAGATTGTCTTTCTCTTGTCTTTTTTATTCTTTTTCTTTTTTTCTTTTGGCTTTTTTTTTTTTTTTTTTTGCTAGGTCTACGGTCTTTAGAATATTTTTATGATGTAATGCAGGTAAGTTCACCCAAATCACATTTATTTATTAATTTATTTAATTGGACTAGACAAAAGCAAAGTGAAAGCTAAAAGATCAAACAAAGACAAAAATACAGTACCGCAGTTCTTAGATCCCACAACATAACTTTCCCATCATAGGATGAGGTAAGTAAATGAAACCAAGATTTATCATGCCACTTGCAGGCCGAAATCCAAGAAGTGTGAGAAGAGAACTGATAAATAGGAGCAGAAGATCCTACAAGAATAATGAAATTTTAATGTAAGTGAGAGAAAGAGGCAGAGAGGAGAAATATTACTATATGATCTAACAGACCTGGTTTTCGTGGATCCCATATCCTAAGGATAGCATCAGAGCCTCCGGCAGCAATGAGAGCTGAACCTTCTCCTCCAATGTGTACACAGTTGAGGGCTTTTCCACAGAACTGCATAAGTAGGATAAAATTATGTATTCAAATCTCACATGCTTCTTGAAACACATGTATATACATGCAAATCTCCATGTGTCCATGAGCGTGCACGGGTGTGTGGTGGGGGGAAGCAATGTAAGATTATCCTCACTATCTTCGATAAATCTTTGCCTGTCTCCACATCCCAACGTCTAATAGAATGATCCCACGATGCAGAATAGATTGTTTCACGTTCTGGCCAAATAACAGCAGATACACATTGTGTGTGGCCCACAAGTGTAGAGAAAGACTCCCCCTGAATGCAAGAGATGTCATGAACAATAACAAAAATCAATAGACAAAATTAAATTCCTAAGTCATGTTTCAAGGTCACATTGCAAGAAAGAGCCCACCACCCATAACATGCAATAATCTTTTAATTGCTTTTCAATAGGAAAGGCCTTCTTTCTTAACTTTCCCAATGAACAACTTGATCATCTAACCCAAAATGAAACCATGAATTATTTCAAACCATGCTATTTCTTTTTTCAGAAGATAAGAAATATTTTATAACATATACAAAATTATTAAGTATTTGAGATGTGAACAACTACTAAGTATCAAGATTTCTATGAGTAATACACTTTGATTCTTAAATACCATCTAATTTCAGACTTCAACTGCTTGAGTTTAGTAGTTAAACTCTGAAATTCTGTTTTTCTCAAAGCCTTTTGGAACAAAAATGTGAGATCAACAAGTATACACAAGTAAAATGAAGCGTAGAGCATAAGCATCATGCAATACCTCTAACTGAGATTCCTCGGCTTCATTTTTCACTTTTCTCTTTTTAATTGACACCAAATTGCCTTCTGTATCAGACTGTATCAGACTCATTTTGTCCGCCAACAAATTGATTGTACAATCCAGAACCCGAGAAATCTAAGGTCTTATAATAATTGCAAATTGAGAAATGAGCTTAAGTTTCAATTTTTGACCACATAGACAATATATCAAGAAGAATTAAAAGTGATGAAAAAAACCATGCTTCCAGAAGTCTCTGCTGCAACATCTGTACAGATGCATTCATGTCACAGCAAAAATTTGAAGGCTCTACGTTGTAGGATTGATTTTTATGCTCTTCTGTGTCAAACTTTTCAGGAGAGCCGCAATAAGTCATGGGAAAATATCAGTTTTATAAAACAGCAATTTTGGTCTAATTACCTTCCACAGCCTGAGAGTTTGATCTTTTGAGGCAGTGGCCACTGTAACAGTATCTGTATCTGCACATTGAGACATGGCTCTATGAATGGAAGGATAAAGAGTTAGCTACTACAACATGAAGCAAAAAAAGATAACAGCTTTCAAATCATCGATAAAACATCAAGTAAAGGAAAATCAATTAAAAAACCACATGAAGACAAATGCACATGATAATATCCTAAGTCTAGAAAGCATCCATAATGTGGAAGGACCAAAAAGAAGATTAAAGGAAGTCTAGAAAGCATCCATAATGTGGAAGGACCAAAAAGAAGATTAAAGGAAGTCTAGAAAGCATCCATAATGTGGAAGGACCAAAAAGAAGATTAAAGGAAGTCTAGAAAGCATCCATAATGTGGAAGGAAATTTTATTTATAATAACTAAGGAAAACAATGTAAGGAGGAGATTAGTTGTCCAAACATCTAAACCACAAAGTGCAAGAGCATCTTTTGCTCCTTGTTTATACCTCCATGATTTATGATACCAACCGAAGTAATTGCATCACTGTGTCCCTCTAGCATATGCGTGCACTGTCCAGCACCTCTCCATACCCTGAAGATTATGGAAACAAAACTTCACTTCACACTCAGTTGGATTCCTCATACAGATGACAAGAAAATAATGAGGTTTTTTAATGTAATAGAAAGGATATTTTACAAAACTTCTATTTATATTTTTTACTTCCAAATCCATCATAGCACCGGTAAAATGAACCTGCCCAAAAACAGAACTTTAGAGCAGCTTTTTTTAAAAATAAATGAAACTTTAACAGTTAATGTATCCATTATGTATGCCTTCATATTTTACGCTAAGATTACAATGCATTATCATTCATAATGGACAATAACCTAGTAAAGCATGCATAAATTATCGAAGAACATCAATATCCAAATCTTATTCTGGAGCTACTCAAACTCTGTTTTCTACTAAGGTTGCCATCTTAAATTGTTACAGATATTTTATCTTCAAATTATAAATAATCTTCAACATAAATGCTCTCATTCATAAGTGCCGAGTAAGTTGCCTAACCATAATAAAATTTCGTAATATAATCATCATATTTCTTCCCATGGTCAAAACCTTACTTCTCAATATAAATAAGCAAATTTATGCAATAAATAACTCAGTAAAACATTCAGACACAAGGAATAAAGAAGTATTAGGAAAGAAAGTCTTAAAAAAAAAAAAATCCTTAAATTTGAGCCACACGAAATACCTTAAGTCTATTTTTGGATAGTTTCAGTTTTAATGTCCTTATCCAATACTACAGAAACATGTCTTTATCTAATATTACAGAAATAGAACAACTGTGCACTTATAAACTGTTGCCTCAGAAATTAAGAGTCGCAAAATGGAAACTGAATCCTTATATTCAAGGGATTCTTCTGAGTAAATAAATACCATTAAGAAGTGAATAAACTATGCTTACCGAGGACAAGATCCATCAACTGCACTAACCCAATCATTATGTAAAGAAGGCTCCTCCTGTTTCCGAGGAGCCACTGATTTTATGTATTCAATTTCCAGTGTCTTCTCCTGTAATAGAGTCATAATTTCTAATAATGCATCAGATGGGAAAAAGAAAAAAAAAAAATCCACCGACTATCGCCTAGCATTAGAAAATTTCAATCAACCTTGGCACGTTGCCTACAAAGCGTCCAAAGCTATTGAAATTTGATAAAGCACGGTACCATTATCAACTTGCAAATGTCAAAATATAACTTATGGATAATTAGTATCCTATTTCAGCTCTTTATGTCTCCTTTCTTTCAAGATTACATATACTTTCTACTATACACTTCCAGGGTCAACCAAAACAGGGGAAAAAATAGTAATTACCGCCGAAATTCCCTTAGCGAGAAGAAACTGCTCAAGTGACATGCGAACAAGCTCTCCATCAATAAGAAAATCGAATGGCTGATTCTCCCATTCAGGATAAAAAAAAAAAAAAAAAAGCTAAAGCCCAAATGAATTGATTTATGCAATTCATTTATGCAAAAGAGAATACCAGCTTTGAGGAGGCTATTGACAATGGTGGAGAGACCAAGACGAGTGAGATTTGCTGGGATAGTAATTGCAGTGGCTGGGGCTTTGTATGGGGCCTTCAGTTTTGTAACGAATCGTGCTTGAACCTGTCTCTCTTCTGTATCGCCTTCCATGTTATTCAACTGTTGTAGTACAAAGCTAGCCTGCAGAAACAGATAAGAGAAGAGAGGGAAAGGAAGCTAGTTACTAGGGTTTCGTGATTGCAAGTTGGAGAAGAAAAGCAGAGGAAGTTCAGGCTTTGTTTGGATGGGGTGAAGGAAGGGCTATTAAGGATACGTAGGGATGGCAGCAGGTACCTGCTAGAAATCAACTACCCGAACCCTAATATCAATTTAAGTACCCGAATTCGTTAAGAAATAACCAACAACACCCAAATCTGTTCCCAAATCCATTTAGAATTACCCGCATACTACCCCAACCCGTTTAATCACAAATTCATTCAATCCATAAAACCCGAACCCACTTGGAACCCGAAAATGCAACAAAATATATAAAAAATGCATTAAAATTCAACCTGAATAATAAAACAATTCAATCTGTAATATTCTAGAACAATGGTACCAGTAATGTTAAAATAGAACAAAAGAATTAAAATTCAACATAAATAAATATACATACAACTAGCTACAGAGAAAATTTAATAAAAGAATAAAGAGAAATTTATAACTAGCTACTGCACATTTTTTTCCTAATTTAAAAAAATAACAAATAAAAAATAAAAAGAAACAGTTTACACGAGCAAATTAAACTAGCTACAGCCGAGTTCAGAAACAATAACAAAGAAAAAAAGCAATCATCAAGACTAAAAGTGTAGTTAATACTGAGAATAAACAAGTCAAAACTTAAAAGCAAGAACTAGATGGTCTCTTTGACCATCTCAGCATCTCTACAAAAAATTGATCATTATTAACAAACCAAATCTTAACATGTTAGATTTCAATCATATAGCCATGAATTGGCTTATATTCACCATCCTTTTGCCTTCCAATATATACATTTTCAAAAAATTAGCTTCATCTAAATATATACATTTTTCAAGAAATTAATTAGCTTCATCCTACTTAACAAAAGGTTTGAACCTGAAAATGCCTAATCACATTCCAAGATAAATTCAACAAATAGAGCTCCTCTTTCATCTAGGATATAAATAAAATAATTTCATCTAAAAACTAAACCATTTTAGAAGGAGAATAACAAATGAAACAAGCACAAAACACACAATTGAAAAAAATAAAACAATAAACATATATCTCTCCGCTGAACCCACAAATTAATTCAACAATCCCTCCTCTTTGTCTGTTTATATGTATTTATATAAAAAGAAAAAGGAAAAGGAAAAGGGACGAAGGAGAACAAAAAAAATAAATGGATAACGAAAAACAATAAATGGAGAACGAAATTAAAAAACCAAAAATGGAAATGGAGGAACCTCGCACTGGTACTACGGTTGAAGAGCAGTACTGCTGCGGAGGCGACGGCCACGCAAGGAAGCGACAGGAAGGGGTAGAAAAAGCAATAAGACTGTGAATGGGTAGAACCAAAGAAGGAGAGAACGAGCGGCGGCAGGGAGAATATGTTGAGTTGGAAGGACTTCTGCTTTGTTTTCATAAAACGACGTAAGTTTGTGGATTCAACTAAACCTACTACATCAAAAACTACGTCGTTTTTATATTGAAAAATAGTTATTATTCTAATTATTATTACTAGACTCGTGTTAAGAAGAAGAAGCGCCAAGTTGACCTTAGTGGTTGATAAATAAACCATAGCTGGATAAAACTGGCCTCTTCTGTTGAATGCATGATTTATAACTGCCAAAGTTGCAAATAAACTGTTGCACCAAATCAGTCGATCAATAGATATAAACATGAATAAATGCTTTTTTAATGAACATTATCAAACTTAAAAAGTTCAGCAGATGAACCTACTGTTCCTTTTATCTGAAAAAAAAAAGAAAAAAAAAAAAGATCAGAAAATTCAAATTGGCTCTCAGATTAAAATAGGTATAATACTTCCCCCAATTTCACAAATCGCAGACAATTCCAAACTCAAAGCTTGGTTTCAAAATAATTGAAGAGCAATCAAACATTTCAAATTATAGTATCATCTTATTACATTTCTGAGCAATCAAAAGAACACATTTACAGAAAAACATATTACAAGAAGATTTCAGAATCTCCTGAAAAACCTTCAAACCAAGTGAATAAAAGCTTCATAATAAAAAATAAAAACCTTATAGAGACATTAACAGTACCTGGAAGAATTTGCCAATTCCTCCAAAATGTTTCGATCCCTATCTGTGTTTCCTTTCAAAAAATAGATTAAAATGGTACTTCTCAATGTTGGAATAAAGGTTAATTTGGTCCCTAGACCAATCTAATCTCTAAACTTATTTTAAAATTTTTACAAATTAATAAATTGATTCAATTTAATAAGATTGACTTTTCTCCGCGAGTAGTGTATACTGAAAACATCGCATCAAACTTTTCCAACACTTTTAAATTAAAGTTTAAATTCATAAAATTGTCATTTTTGTAATATAGTAAATTTACAAAATATGTAGTATAATTTTAATATGTTCAACGTGAAAAATACATAGATTTCATTCATTTGAAAATGTTCAAATTAATATATATTTATAAATTCAAAATCATCATAAAAGATAATATAATATACTTTTTTCTTTAGCTCTATTCGATAATTATAGTTGTTTTAGTAGTTTTAGCTATTTCAATAGGTGACAGATGGTTTACTGGTGGTTAGTTGTTAGATATTAATTGTTAATGGTTAGCCGTTTATATAATGGTTTATAATAAAAATATGCGATACAAGTAATTGTTTGATTAGTTATTTAATATAAAACAACAAAATAAGTTACGAAAGTGGAGAATAAGGTAAAGATAAGTGATGAGTATAGCTACCATAAAAAAAATTATAAAATGCTACAAGTTAATGAAAATAACGTTTCATGGAACATTATCTCAAACTCTAGATAATAAGATAGATATTGTATTAGCAAATACTATAATTAATTAAAATAGTGTTTTGACCCAATCAAAATACTACTTCAAACTCTACTCGCCTTTATTTCATATCTAATTAATTTTTTAAATAAATTATACGGTCCAATCCTAACTATCTATACTTTTATACTTCTATTTATACTATATATAAAAGTGAGAATGATGGAGAATAATGAGATTACCTATAATAACCTCATTAAAATTTTAAAAATTTTAAAATATTTTTTTGGATAATTGATAATAATTTGAGTTTATTAAATAATTTAAATTTTTAATAATTGATAAATTAAATATTATACTTTGATTTTATTCTTTGAGAAATAAAGATATTTTAATTTTGATTGATTAAGTTACTTTTTATTTTAATCTAAATTATATTAAAAAACTTAATTTAATTTTAAATATTAAACGTATTGTATGTAATTAAATAGTACATTTTAATATATTTATTTATATATTAAAGTATTTGAAATTTTTTATTATATAATATTTATTTGAAATTTTTTTATTATATAAATATTTATTTCGTTAACTATATAGTTATATTTATCAGTTACGAAATTTGAAAAATTATATTTAAATCCTATTTGAAAAATTACTATTATGAAATACCATCATGAGGGGTAAGTTAATTACATACAATATCTAGGCAAAATTTCATTTGATTCTTTAGATTATAATAAAGAGCCAAAACAAAATTCATTGGCTAATTTACAATTGAAATTATAATTAACAATAATATTTTATAATCAAAGATTACTGATAAACATAAAACAATTATATATAGTATATATTATATATATATATATATATATATATATATTATATATATTATATATATATGTTGGTAGTCAATGTCTTTTTAGTTGATATCTATTATCTTAAAACATTCATAATATTTATAACTTTTTTATTTTGGTATATTATCACAAAATCTTTTCAATTTGAATATCAAAAATTTATGTATGTATTTATTTTGATATATAAAACACATTTACTATTATTTGTTAGATATTTTTTCTAGACAAATTAATTTTGTTTTAAAAAAGTGCATACATATATCTCTAGATGCACAATGATATATTTATGTGTAAGTTCATATATTTAAGTTCATATATTATTTTATAATTTAGTGCCAAAAAATATGATTTGGAATAATGTATATATTGCAAATCATCTATTAACATGAATGGACTCTTTCTATTACATGGTGAAATGCATTGATATCATTTTGTTTATACTGATTATAATTAACATATTATTAAAAGGTACACTAAAAAAACTAAAAATAAAAATAAAAAACAACAACAAAAAAAGTCTACACTAAGCCTTTTCAAAAAAGAGTACAAGACAACTTAATGGAACGTATTAATGGAAACATCGCTATGTTATTTGACAACTTAATGGAACGTATTAATGGAAACATCGCTATGTTATTTGTTATTTTTTATAGGATTCATCTTTATTTTAATTATCCAAAAATTACAATATTTTACATTTATTATTTTTACTTATGTAGATTTCAATCGAGATACTTAAACCAACGGTTTGATTATTTATTTTCAACTCTATAACTATTTGGTTTAATTATTTATTTTCAACTCTATAACTATCCAATCTGTGACTAAAAAAAAAAAATTTATTGTAAAAAAAATATCTCTAAAGCTTTTAATTTCATTTGTTGAAAAAATAAAGTAAATTTAATTTAATCGATTGTATTAGTTTTCTATGTAAATTAAATTCTATTCTAACTAATAAATAAAATAAAACAAAATAATTACAACACGAATAACACCAAATCTTATAAATTATATACTATCTCCGTTCCATAATATTTGTCGCATTTGAGAAAATAGTTTGTTCTAAAATACTTGTCACATTTGTGGGTTGAAGGAGTAATAAATATTTATTTTTCATATTTATCCTTTATACCTTTATACATGACCAATAATTATTACTTCAATTTAATGATTTTTTTAGATAATTAGTATTAAATTAAGGGTAATATAATCAATTTCCTAAATAATTTATTGTAACTTAAACAAATTTAATGGTTTTCTTAAGGAGCGTGAAATTCTAAATGTGACAAATATTATGGAACATAAACAGTACTAAATTGAGGAAAATATTATAAGAACTATGAATTTAGTTGTTAATTTCATATTTGATTAACTATATGACCAAAATCAACTTTAAACGGTAGCTCCTAGCTATAACTTAGTTCAAACAATTCTGTAAAATTCAAAATTAATTGAGAAAAATGTTGAATTAACAAAAGATTCATAGATATACAAAAATTAAAATACAAATAAGAATAACGAGTAAAATATAACGAAAAACATGTATGTACAAATGCAAAAATTATCAAGACAATCTAATTATTAAATCAAATGAATTTACTATAAAAAATTAAGAAAAGTAATAATAAATTGTGACAATTAAAATTATATTTTAAAAATAATAATATTATATAATATAAAAGAGTAAAGAATAATTTATGAGTAAAAATAACTAGTACAAACACATGCAAGGCAACGTTGAACAAAAGACCAGTAATCTTAAATGTATATAGATACAATGAAAAATCAGCAGCTAAATTAACCTAAAATGTTAGAATCTAATATTTTAAATCGTTTTAAACAGATAAATTGAGCCAAAATCTTAGCTGTTACTAAAAGTTAAAAAAATCAGTGTGCCCAGATTTTTTAAGAGACAATATTTTGAATCAAATTATATTAATTATCAATCTGGTTTACTGATATTTAACTGGTTTGTCATCCGGTTTTTATCGATTTTGAAGTCTCTATTTTTATTTTCCAAATTGAAAAGGACTATAATCTGGTTCATGGTTAAACCGGTCGATCCAATTTGATTTTCAGAACAATTGTTAATTCAACTTTTAACCAATAAAAAATTTAATTGATCTAGTTTTACAAATTGATGTGTTTAATGAATAAAATAAAATATTTAACAGATCCTATTAAAGTGTCCAATCGATGAAAATAAACATTAAAGGTGTTACAAAATTTTTTGTAAAAAGTATAAGAGTCAATTTATGTATTTAATCTAAAAAAAAATTAATGATTTTGGGAATGTGCAAATAGCTTTTGCTTGTGGCATTACAAAAAATAAGAGAGAATTAAGGTAAAGAAGCATGAATAGAGAGAATTTAGTCTGGGTGAGCATTTAGTTCAATGAAATTGAATCGTCACTAACTTAAACAAGAGATCAAAATTTAAAAATACAATCAAACCCAAATGAAGAAGCATGAATAGTTAAATTGAATATATTAAAATCAAAATTTTTACATTTCTAGAGGAATAAATTTAGCTAGTTTTTAATTTGGCTTTCTTCACCAATCAATTTTATTGGTAATTCAACTAAATCAAATTGAATCAAATTGTATCAGTTTCATTTGGTTAGAATCAAAATCTGCTCATCCTGATCAGTGTGACAGCAACCCCGACGTTTACCGGTTGAACTCGCTAGTCGGCCTGACTCTGTTCACGAGAATTTTGTATCATCTCATGTGCGTGATCTCATGCGTCAAAATCAAAATTGTCTACCAATTTTAAAAGAAAAATTACTATTTCATCTTTATATAATTGAAAATACAAATTAGTCCATTTCTCTGTTTCAAGAAATGATTTTGTAGTTCTTGATTTTTCTTTTCATTAAATCATCTGACCCTTCCATCCTAATTTAGCCATTTTTACCGGTTTATTCAATAAGAAAAAATCGGTCAAAAGAAAGTGAATAGAAAATAAAGGAAAAAGTACCCTTAACATCCAAAAAAACCAGAAATAGAGAGCTTTGCTTCTGGGTCTGTGATGAACTCAATCGGCCGCTAGTCTTTGCTTCAATTTCTCTGTTGGCGAGTAGTTATTGTTTCTACCATGTAATATGAACCTCATAGCAACTGCTCTTAGATTGAAGTATCCAAGTCTATGTGGCCTTCAAGTATTAATGGAGCTTTTTCTTATACGTGGGTTTCTGCTAGTACTGTCATCTTGATTTGCTAGCTTCTTGTTTTGTACGTGGCGCGAATCCACTGGCTCGACGACACAAAAGAGTTCCTGGGATGCATTTTTTTTCTTCCGTTTGTCCTTTTAACTATAAGGTTATTTAGGTCTTTTCCATAAACGGCCAAAAAAAAAAAAAAGCTAAATTAAAACGGAAGAATTAAATGATTTTATGGAAGCAAAATTCATTTCTTAATAAAGAAATGGATTAGTTATATTTTCAATTAATATAAAATGGTGACACCTACCCTCTTGAATAGGGAACCAAAAAGCATGGTTACTTCTCATGCAAATTCTATTTTCAAACGACCATCCCAATGCCGGAAGCTCTCGTTTTAAATCAAACTGGTTAGGTGGTAGACTTTACTTTATTTTAAATGTTTAGACGGTTAGATATTAGCTGATAGTAAATAGTTGTTTATATAGGAGTTTAAAATAAAAGTGTTCGGTAAAAATAAGTGTTTACCGAAAAAAAAAATGGCAAAATCATCAAGAACAAGGTAAAAATAAGTAATGAACATAGATATCATAAAAAATTTATAAAACTCTAAACATTAACAATGATATTATTTATGAAATACTATTTCAAATTCTAAACATTAGGATAAATGTAATATTACCGAACACAATAATTAATTAAAACAGTATTTTAACTCAATCAAAATACTAAACATTGGTCCAGATGCTATTGTACAACATAGCTATATTCGTACATCATTGTCATCGCTTACACAGTACAAGCTTGAAATAAGGTCGTTCTTCATTGTTTAAGACAAAGGCCAAACTAGATAAAACTGAAGTAAATCTTTTTTATTTCCTTGAAAAAAGTTATTTTTTTTATTTGACCCTCTAAATTTCTAAAATTTTTTTTATGGCTCCGCCACTAATATGTATTATTATTTACCTAATAACTAATTGCTAACATTCCTTTTTCTTTTTTGGAATTTTCTTCAAGATATGAAATTGATAAATGATCTCCAAATTCTCTAATCTTCTAGTGACTTCAAACATGACTCAACAAACTCCTAACAACTAAAGACATTGGCAAAGCTTATGCCCTAACTAATTACTATCAACTTTTCAATTTCATTCAAAAAACATGAGCATAGCATTTCTAGCTCTTTCTTCCTTTAAAACAAAGCTCATTGCCTACCTTTTTCCCATTCACAAACACCATACCTTTTCACCTTTCTTTGTTTTATCTCCTCCCAATCTCCAACAATAACATTTAGCTCGCTAGCTAGCTTCACTGTTTTTTATTTGAATCTTCTTTTCAATGTTTTCTGAATCTTCTCTGTTTGGTTTAGTTGAGGATTTTGGTGGCTTTGGATTTCTTCGCTGCAGAGTTTTTTCACCGGTAATTCTTTTATTGTATTTTTTTGAATTTTATTATTTAACCTATGTTATTTTGTTGTATTTTTTCTTTTTACAGGTTCTGCCACATTAATTTTTATGTTCTTATTTTATTAGATATCAAAAGAAAATTAAGTTATTTATTTTTTCAATTTGGGATTTGTCAGGCAATATTTTTATCACCTACAACTCCAATTGGAATCACAATTGAACTTGGTATATCCCATTCTAATGGTTATGAGGAGAATAGCCAAACAGCGTAATTGTTGAACAGTTTTAATTCAGCCTCAGCTGAAATTTTATACATATGGCATCGGTTGATCTTCATGCGACTGATTTTATGAAGTCAAAACAAGCTAATGGGAATATTCAACTTCGAGTTAATCTTTTTCTTTTTCTTTTTGGTTGGTTTTTTCTTAATATAATTTTTCAACCACAAAATTTCATTAATTAGATTTTATTTTACAATCTTTTGCTTTCTTCTACTACTCATTTCACTTGCCTTTGGACTTGAAGAAGAAAATAATGACAAATCTTGTTTTATTTTATTCTTTAGCTGCATTATTCCAAATGACAGTGGCTGTGATTTTATATTTTAGAGCAAAAGATTTGTCTTTAATTTCTTCCTCGGACATATTGTGCAAAGGCAACTGAAGAGAGTAGCAGCAGAAGAAAGCAAAAGACTGTAAAAAAAATCTATTGGAAATTTTCATGGTCAGAAAATTATATATTAAGAATTGTAAACGAGCACCACCAAGAAGAGAAAAACATTAACTCAAGTTTAAGTTTTCTATTGGCTTGTATTTTATGGGTTCGTAAAATCAGCACCAAAGAAGATTAACCAATGCCGTATATCAACATTTCAGCTGAGTCTGCATTAAAAACCCTTCAACAATTATAGCTTTGGGGCCATTCTCACCATAGCCTTAGAATTCGATACATCAATCTCGATTGCAATTCCTACTGGAGTTGTAAGTGAGAAAAATATTGCCCTAAATTTTGCATGGACAAACCCAAATTAAACAAATAAATAAATTATTTTTCTTTTGATATCTAATAAAATTATAACATAATGTATATGTATAATATTACCTGGCGCTTGTAGAGAATTGCCAGAAGCATTGATGGAAGCCAAAAGTAAATTTACATCATGATGGATCATCCACGATCCATTTCCATTTTTTTTTTTTTATTTGAAGAGAAATGTCTAATATTATCAAAACTGTTATATATTAATTCTTCATTTGTTTTGGAAATATATTAAATAAAGGAGACAAATAAAATAACTGTAATGTAATATAATCAAATGCATTCCTAATATGATGAAAATAAGAAATATTGCTGGGATTACAAAATTTCGGAGTGTACAAATTAGAAAAAAAGCAAAGTATTTAATTTACAAACTTTCCACAAACTTCTTTGGCATATACAATACACAGAATTGCTCATGTTGTTTGATTTTGACGCAGGAAAAGGGGAAATAAAACCATGTTAATTATGCTTCTATTTTCACTAATACAAACAAAAACCCAAAACAAAAACGTTTGCGAAATGTCTTAAAACAGGTTGGTTTGGCGGCCAATCCTACGTGGCAACCCAAAATTTTGGTAGGCTCGAATTTCACCCCCCAAAGTTGCTGTAACAATCACCATACCCCAAGCATTTGCTTGGATAGAATTATTTCCATGGCTACTATCAAACCATGACCAAGTGGAAGGCCAAGAAGAAGATGGACTTGGAGTAGCAGAAATAGCAGATGAATCGCCATGCCTCGCTGAAGAAGATACAGCAGAACTGAATGAGTCACCTATATTAGACTCTGACCGGGAAATCATGGATGGATCATCTTCCGGCGACGGAGTGCTCTCTACATTGTTATTGTTGTTGTTGTTGCCGCCGCTGCCGTTGCCGCTGCTGCTGCTGCCGTTTTTCTTCGGAAGCGGTGGCAATTGTTTTTTATTGTTTGTTGCTGGAGAAGGAGAAGGAGAAGGACAAGGACAAGCTTCTTCTTTAGGAGGTGAATCAGTTCCAGAATTTCTTCTGCCACTAACAGATCCGTCTTCTTTGGTTGGCGAAGAGCAAGAGGAAGGTGTTTGTGACGTAGAAGAACGTTTTGAGTTTCTTTTCGAATGGACTTGTGCAGGTGGAGGATCACCTTTTACAGTACCTGGCCATGGGATTGCTATTGATACTTCTCTGCATTGAAAGCTTTCGTGAGATCGAGAATTTATCATACTCTTCCCTTTTCCACTTCCTGCTCGCTCGTCTCTCTTCCACACAAAAACATTAGAATCTTCACTTGCACATATTACATATTTTCCATCTTTACTGAATGAAGCTGCAATTTGGCTATTAAGATTTCTGAAACCTGTATTTTTCCATTCCATTAGGATAATAACTTAATGACCCAATGCTCGTCTTTCCCAGAACTTATCAAATCCATAATATTAAAATGGAATTGTAAGAGAAACTCCCAATTTATATGCATACCTCTGAATTTATGGATGATTTCTGAACCTTCCAAGATCCGAATTCGAGAATCAGCAGAAGAAACAATAAATTCAGATGGATTGCCTGGGGAAAACTATTATAGATATAAACTTAGTCATTTGATCTGACCACAGAATAATATTAATCAAAACATGATAAAGGACTGTGAAATATTACCTGAAAACCAGTTATCTTTTTTGGTCGCTTCTTGTTTTGTAAATCTATCTGCTCAACTTGACTCAGTTTGCAATCTGAATCATGAAACTAAAAACATGAAAATCTTTGTGCATAAAATCAGGTCGAGAGAAAAAACAAAATTTAGCAGGCTAACTCATACCCTCAACGCTGTACATACGGCAATTCCCTTTATGCGAACCAATAAGTGCTCCCTTCAATTATCACAACATAAAAATTAATAAACATTAAAGCAACTTATAGCAGAACCAAATTTCTAGCAACAAATAAAGTGTTTGATGAAATGTCTAACAGAAAAATGAATATTTGTAAACCTGCCCATCCGGCGTGTAGCAAACAGCAGTGACCATTTCATGAAGATCAGTCCAATCCACAAGTTGCCTGTCAGGTATGTTCCAAATTCGAACCTTGTTATCGAGCGAACCACTTATGAAGAAGTTGTCATCCATGGGGTTGAATTGTATGCAGGTTACTGCAAGCAAAGGAGATTAGTGGAAAATGTAATATGTCTATAGACGCTGGTATATATGAGAGGTATTGGCATATCTTTACCATAATCATTGTGAGCAAACAACTTTAGACAGCTCTTCGTCTCCATGTCCCATAAACGAACAGTTTTGTCCATTGAAGACGAAAGAAGTAGCTGCAAATCCATAATAAAATATCTATGAATATGGAAGAGGCTAAGAAAAAGGCAGTTCTGAAGAGCAATTTCGAAATTAATGGTCCAATAACATCAAGAATGCTGAGATTGTAACCTGAGATCTGGACCAGGACAGGTCAAGGACATCATCAAGATGACCGTTGAAAGAGCATATCGGTTTCTCCGATAAGGAAAACACAGATTCTGGCACATGAACATATTCTGGAATAGGATTGATTTTTCTACTAGCGGAACCCTTCTTCTTCTTTTTCTTTTCAGAAGGGGTTGGTGTGACATCTCCTAGTGCCGGAGTAGATGAGAATGGATGAAACGGAGTCAAATTCCCTTCATTCAAGGACATAATTTCACATTCCTGAACTTCCCATATATGAATAGTCCTATCTTCACCACCACTAGCGAGAAATTTTGTGTCAGGACTAAACTTCATAGTCCATATTGAACCTTGATGAGCCTGAATCTCTTGACACAAATGCATAGCACTTAACTCCTTATGTGATTTCGCCACCTGCCTAACCTTCATCCATCCTGATGAAGATGCAGAAGAAGAATTATTCTTGCCTACTGATCCTGCTCCTGCTCCTCCAGGTTTTGATTCAGCCGTAGGCGAGTTATGCTCTTTATCAGCATTTCTTAATCCAGTTATGGACATAGAATGAGCAACACCTTTTATATTCTTCAAGATAGCTGCACCTCTTCTTTTGCTAAGTCTTAAACTTTTGGACAAATATGAATTAGCGCTAATTTTTCTATCATCATCACCAACCGTGTCTCTCTTCATTAATTCTTTAACAACTCTTGAATGTCCAACGCATGTTTCGAATTCTTCTATTGTCAATTGCTTTCCTGTTTGAAGATCACTTACTCTATTCCACGTTCCATCTTGTTCATACTCATTAATAATAAATTCTTTTCCTGTATCCAAATTCTTAATCAAGAAGAAAGCACCAAACCTGTTATCTGATAACATCGGCGTTAAGCCACCGTTCGGGCCAAGCGAACGTACGCTTCCTCCGTTCTGCGCCGAAGCTGTAACAGAATCTTTATATGGACAAGTTTTTGTATTTGACACAACTACCATTGATGATGATCTTTTAAGGCTTTGTTTGGCCATATTTCCTAAAAATTCTTCTTTTCTTTTTTTATCGCTCGAAAATGCCTTTATATTACTAGCAGACTTACAACGGACCAGCACACCCGGTACTGGCGCTGTTGAAACCTCCGGCGGTTTCACTTCTACGCCTGGACCGCTACTAACTTCAGGAGACGAGGCCTGTCCTTTTTCAACTTTGATGGAAATAGCGCGAGTCACCTCTTTACTGGCGACCCTAGCCAGCTCTTTCTCGTTCGATAAGCCCATTCCGGCAAGAAGACGTTTCCGGCGTTCCTTAATCGATCCAGGGGCGGCCATCCAGATGTTATATTCCGGCGACATTGCGGCTGCGGCTTCGGCTGCGTAGTTCCGGTATTCAGTTGTGGAAGCGCAGGAAATAGAGGAGGCTGCGTAGTTCCGGTATTCAGTGGTGGAAGCGCATGAAATAGAGGAGGCTGCATAGTTCCTGTATTCAGTGGTGGAAGCGCAGGAAAATGATGCGCGAGGGTCTTCGAATTCATCTTCGTCGTCGGAACCGGAGGAGCCGAGGTCGACAGGAACGGCGTTGGAGAGGCGATCACATGTTTCAAAAAAATGGTCATCGTCATCGTCGTGGTCGCCGAGGGCGTCCCAGTTCATTGTAAAGGTTTTCTTTCGCTCCATTTTGGCGCATGAGATGCGTAGTGCAGAACAGAACAGAACAGAACAGAACAATAAGGAAGAAAAGGAAAGAGAGAAAGTGTAGGTTTTGGCTTCGGTAGTGATTATGATTTTGGAATGGAACGGAAGAGAGGATACGTCGCAGCCGTTATGGGTTTGTGTTAATTGAAGAGTTTAAATTAAAAGAAAGGATAAGAAATGGTCAAAGGGGTCATTACATGTCTTCACGTCTCTAACCAATTATTTGCACGCACGAATATGCATTTCCTTACATGAAAGAAATTTATTATCTAAATAAACGCAACTATAAATTTAAATTTAAATTAGATATTTTATTATCTAAATATACATAATTTTCAACTTAAATTTTAAATTAACTTATCTATTTTTTATTAATTATTAACTATTTTGCTATTATTAAGGCTTAATATTTAGACAATAAAATTTTAAATACTATAAATAAATAATATTTAAATAAATAATAAAATAAGATATGAATTTTTGTAAATTTATAGTATAATAATTTAAAAAATTTAAATGATTATAATTCTTCCATATAATAATAAATTTATATAATCTTAAGTTTTATTTAAAATTTTAAATATATAATAACTTTTTATATGTAATAAATATTTTTCAGATTGATGAATCAAAATTTTAATAAAAGGCAACAAATAGTTAATTAATTCTATCGAAAATACATATTCTATTTGCTTTTATTATCTCATTTTGCGATGAAACGAAGTCTCAACTTATCTGGCTTTAAGATAAATTTTTACATATCCATCTATCTATATCTATAACGTGAGAATATGGGAGGAATAATGTAATTTTCAATATCACCCTTAATGAAATTTTAAATATATTGAAACAGTCTTAATCGTAGCTAATTCAAAAATTACATTTTATATCAATGAGTGTTTGAATGAGTGGTTCAGCACTCTTTTTCTTAAATGAGGTCGAGGATTCGATCCTCATGGATGGAGTAAATACTATGAGTGTTTGGATGGGTTGTTCGATACTCTTCTCCCTTAAATAAGGTCGAGAGTTAGATCCTCGTGAATTGAGTAAATATTAGCTGTGAGCACTTTACCCCTTTTTAGGCCTACCCGATGTGAGTAGAATTTAGTTCTAGCCCAGTAGGCTTGAGATATTGTGGTTAAGACGAAAAAAAATTACATTTTATTATTTGATTGGGTATAATTTTTAAAAATTATTTTTTAAATAAATACATATAGATAAAAAAAATATATACTCTTCTTTTTCTGTATGGTTGTAGGGAAAATTGAGGGTTTATTCGGCGAGAATAGAACATTTGTTCAATGTAATTTTTTTTATTGATCAATTAACTTATTTATTTATTTTAAATTTGCAATTTAGAAAAATAGAGTAACAAAATTAGATGCTAGCATTACTTGCTTTTTAATTTTCATTTATTGGCTTGGCTATAATTTTTTTTTTTTTTTGTGTATCAACATTAAATTTCAACTTGATTTTTAAAATTGAAATTGATAATTTTCAAATTAGATTGCTAGCATTACTACTTGCTTTTAATGTTTCATTTATTGGCTTTGGCTATAATTTGCTATAATTTTTTTTTTTTTTTGTGTATCAACATTAAATTTCAACTTGATTTTTAAAATTGAAATTGATAATTTTTTTAATATAATTTGTTTCTTGTTATATATTGAATTTCGAAAAAGGTTATATTCTTAATAACAATTTTTTTTAATTTTTATTTTCTTCTTTATTACTGAATTAATTTGTAACTACAATCACTTTAATTTAGTAAGGGATTTATATCTCTCTTATAATAAATAGATGACCTCTTGATGATTAAATATTTTTAGTTTTCTTAATATTTTTTCTATTATATTCTAAATCTGTTTAACTTGAAAAAATATAGTGTTTATAAAACTGGAAAGCAATTAGAACTATACAAGCTAATGAAACTACCTGCACTTTATTGCGGGCCTTGTCTTCAATATTTTTTCATTTTAAAGTTAATTTTATTTATATAATTATTAATTTTATTGATACGATTGTTATTTATTTTGTACTCAAATTTTTATATATTTTTTCATGGCAAAAGTATATTCATTTTTGTTTTAACATTTTTTATTATAAAAATTATTAAATTTTTTATATCAAAAGATTCATTTTTATTCTTTTTGATTTTGAGTTTTTCTTTTTCCAAAGAAAAAACTGTTGGTATTTGAACGTATCAAGAAATAAAAAAAAACAAAAAAAAAATTAAGATTACTTATCATAATTTTCCCATGTATTTTACTTTTATCATTGAACAAATACATATAATATATAGAAATCCAAAAAAGTTAGTGCTAAGTAAGTATTTTAATTTGCTTAATATTATAGTTGCGAAGAAATACAAAATGCTAAATCAATTATTTGGTGAATTTGATAGTTTTTAAAATAAAATGCTACAAATTTTTAATTATATATCTTTAAAGTAAGTGTAGTGATATTTTAGACTTAAACTTATATCAAGTCAGTTTAATATATAAAAAAAATATTTCTAATTATCACAAATTTTAAACTTATAACGCTAAATATCGAAAAAGCAACTACGTGGCCATTGATGTTAGAATGACATTCAAATAAAATTGTGATGATAAAATGTTAAACATGAGTAGGGGCAAAATAGTAAAAATGGAAGCTAAAACATAGTTCATATGTTGTTGTTCTATAATGTGGCATTCCATCTGTTACTTGGTAGATGAATAATAACTTTTAGTATAGGAAAAAATGGCAAAATGGCAAAAGCATGAAAAAGTTCATGATTTTATAGGAATAACATTGTTCTATGAACAATGTTTTTGGGTTTCATTTTAGTATAGGTATAATATTTCTGTTTTGGGTCACTTTTAAAATTTCAAGAATCGAATTGTCTTAAGGGGGGGAGATTGTAATACCCCGAATTTTTATTTTCGAAACTTTTGAATTTTTATTAAATCAAAAATCAAAAATTTTAATCATGTGGACTGCAAGTATAAAATTGCCTCAATTCAAGCCCAAGTTTACGAAGTTGGGCTCAAGCCCAAAACACATTATCGAAATTTATCTTAAAAAAATCGAATATTATGATTATTAATATTAACATTAAGTAAATTGAAGAAATGTTATAGAACCTAACTAAAATAATCAAAATAAATTAAACCAGACTCGAAAATCAAATTGATTTTTCGAAAACCACACGAATAATCTGAAAACCAAATGAAAAACTTGCAAACCGAGCAAAAATCGAGCCGAATCATTGAATTAGACCAAACCGGTTTGAATCGAACCGGAATGGTCTAGAAGCTGCACGATTCTTCTTTCTTTCTTTTCTTTCCTTCTCTTCTTCTTCTTCTTCTCTGCGTGACCCTCTCTTCCTCTCCTTCGATCTCCGTCCTCCGGCCACCAAATCCGGCAAATGAATACTCTAAAAACATCTACTCAACGCAAGGAAGAAGCAAAGAATACTGACTCTAAAATATCTACAATCGGAGAAAGAAAATTATAGGCTTTGATTTTTTTGAAGGGGAAGAGCTTGAAGTTTCGGCCACCGTAGCGACACCTTTCTCCGACGATTCACGCCGTTTCAGGCAAGCTTTGGGCGCAAGGTGAGTATCAAATGACTCCTCTCTTCTTCCTCTTTCATTTGGTGGCCTCCTCGTCGACTGTAATAGCCGGAATCGGAAAACACAAAATGGGTATCACCGAACCTTTCCGGTCAATTTCCAGCCAAATAGTTCACACCCATCTTAATTTGAATACATATTAGTAATCCTCTCATCGAAACGAATAAAATGATGTATTGTTTGTTAATTTTGGTGAAGATTTGACTTTCCCGGCCACCGTGCACGGCGGGGCGTGCGGCCGGCGACGGCCGGCGAGAAACTACTACCGGCGAGCACTTCAAGGGACACGAATGTCTCTCTTCGGTGCGGAACAACGGAAATGAATTTGATTTTAATCGGTAACCTCTAAGCTTATTCCGCACTTTTTTGAATAATTCTGGAATTATTAATTAATGAACTTAATTAAGTATTTAAGTAAATTAAATTATATTATTAAATAGATTTTATGAATATTAATTATAACTATAAGGTTGGTACAAAAAAAAAATATATTCTTAGCTAAATAATAAATTTTAGGAATTTTATTAACAAATAAGATAGTTATAGAACATTAATTATAATGATTATGTGAATTAAGTGCCGAATAAATGATGGATATGGCGGACGGGATTATGGGATAATGAATTTTGCGCCGATGGAATGGGCTGTGTGTGTGGATTTGGTGAAATTTGAAAAAAATTTGGATTAGTCCAGTTTATAGAGGAAATGCCTGTCGAATTTTTAATAAAACACTTAATGAAGAATTAAATTAGTTATATTCTTAAGAAGTAGTGACGACAAAAATTTGAAGTATTAAGAAATATTATACAATATTAGAATTATCATTATACAATATTTCTCACCGAATAATTAGAGATTTTATCTAAAGGTTATAAATTAGAATAGTTATTTATATAAATGAGAGAACCTAAATATATATGCTATATAACAAGTGAATTAAATGACTGGTAGCCAAAATAAATAAACGAATGTGAAATATAAGTTTTTGAATTAAAATTCTTATTTAGAATTTTCTTGTTTATTTTAAAGGTTTATAAAATACACTTTTAAAAACGGCTTATTAATACAAAATGGCGAGGACAAAAGCTGGAAGCCAATGTGGCTAAAAAGGCAGTCCTTTTAAAGGACAATAAAAGAACTGGTGAGTAGTGTTTAGATAACTAGCGTCAATCCGCCTAGCATTCATGCATTCACACGGCTAATGTTAATCATGCATCTATTTTTGTTGAATTGGCAATATTATGGATGCACTATTCGTTGATATTAAAATTTGTTTTGGGATTCACTTGTGGCTTTGGAAAATACTACTGTGGCCCTTGTTTGTGTGGAATTGGGATGTACGTGGGACCACCATGGGGTTTGTGGGAGGACGGTTCTGTGATATGGATCCTGAATATGATATGATATGGAATTTGAACCGTCGGCTGGGGAAATGGGAGATCGAAAAATGGGAGATCGGTCGAAAACCCGAGATAGACACCTGAAATGAAAT